GATTTTTTAAATTGAAGAAACGATGCACTTTTGTGGTTACTTTGTGTACTTTTGCACTTTAACTTCAAAAGTATAAGTACAAAAGGACAAAATTAATTAACACAAAAGTGAAAACTTAAAAAAACCAAATGAAAAAAATTCAGTCAGTGTGAAAAAATAATGAAATAAATTAACTTTAACATAATAAAAAAATTCAATTAGAGTGAAAAAATAACAAACAGAAAAAATAATAAACATAACCTATTAAGTTTTAATTTATTATAGAGTGGATTTATTGTGTCCGGTTTAAGGTGAAAACTGAAGATAATCTTATTTCCGTCATAACTTTTCAAAGGAGTAAGATGATGAAACTCTAAAACTATTTTTGAAAATAGTTTTAGAGTTCCTTCCTTTGTTTTTAAATTGCCTTTTTTAATCTTTCATGCTAAGAACCTAATTTCCAAAAAAAAGTTTGATTTTTAGGGTTAGGTTTTGTTTGAACTTAAATATCTTATTAAAGCAATCACAAAAATATCATTTTTTTTTTAAATTTATAATTTTCTACACAGTAAAAATTATATTTTTTTTACATTTTTTAAATACCTTTATTTTTAGTGAAGATATTTAGTTATTTCGATAAGCGTCCGCTTTTACGCACTGTCCGGTTTGTGGTACTTTACTCTATAGGGTTAGAAAAATCAAAAACTTGAAACAAAAACCTGTAGTATATTTAATTTAACTATGTATACAATTTATTTAATGTATACAATTTTTTTGTTATCATGATAAATAAGTTGTTGTTAAAAAATTGTTGTATTTTAAGGTGGAAGTCAACTTTGTTTGAAGATGCCTCTGTGCAAACGAAAGACTGCAAAGTTTCTGGGCTTTTAGATTAGTACAACTCAAACAAACCTTTATATGCTAAAAGTAAAAGTTTGAAAAAAAGATAAAAGATTTATAGAAGCGCAAAATGGTAAAAAGTATGCAATAAAAAATTATATATAATCTCTTACGTCTGAAAAGTCATTCGCGTTAGTCTTAGATGCTAAATTATCCAAAGGCACTTATCATCGTTTAAGGGGGAAAACCCCTCAAAAACTTATTTTCTGAAGTAAAGCGTTAATAAAGTTATTACATGTTTCAAATAAAAGTATACTAAATGTTAAGAAGATCTATCATAAAAAATGGCACTCTGTTGCCATGGCAACGCGGTTACTAAGGGAAAATGTCAAATTAGTCTCTTCACCCTGGCAAAGATTGCAGTCAATTAGAATGATACTTTGAGCTGATTTTTTTCTAACTTATAGTTAAAAGATAGATCTATGCAATAAGCAGACAGTTTTTGAAAATAACTTTTCTGTCAGGTAGTAGGCCTGTTTAATTTTGGCAAAAATTTCAAGCACAAAAATGATAGATGTTTTTTTTAATTTCTTAAGTTTAAAAAACATTTTAAAAAAGTTGTCTGCTCATTGCATACATCTTTATGAGAGGAATACTCCCTGAAAATTTCATTAAAATCGGTCAAGCGGTTCTCAAGATACTTCTGCCGGAGGATTAAAAACACGCGTTCTGAGAAAAATGCCAAATAAGTTGAAATTGTGATGAAAAATATTATATAATAACAAAGATACAAAAAATATAATATAAAAAGAGCATACTGATTGTGTTTTTTAATCATGAACACCAGCTCCATACAATTTTCCTTCTTTCTGTTCAACTTTGTCAAATTTTTTAAGCTTGCGGCTTCTTAAAATCTTCCTTTTTTTTTTGATGGTGTCTTGATTTTTATACTCTGACATCATAACTCTTTTCTGGTTTAGGTAATTGCATCCAGAAATGGTATGTTGCCCTGGTATCATATTAAGTCTTTCAAATATAAGTATACTAGACTTTAATCCTATATTAAAGGCACCAATAGCATCATAGAGTCCAAATTTCAATTGCGTAAGCGAAACATACTTTGACTTAGGTATTCTAGACCATATCATTGCATTAAAACTTTCATTTTGATTCTGTGTTCTTCCATGAAGCAAACGATTTAAATAAGCATCTGATGTTAGTTCTACATAAATGGGCTTTAACTTGTGTACTATTTCAATAGGAAGACCTGGTCCGGGTTTATACTCTTTGGTTCCATTAGCTTTATCTCGATTGTATTTACACCAACTATCTGTTCCTGTGGGACAATGCGGGTAATGCCAATTATTTTTTCTTGAAGATGCTACATGAAATAAGCTAGCCAAGGCTGAAGATCTCATACCTTCAAGGTTGCCACAATTTTGCCTAATGCAAATACCAAAATAATTTTGCAACCGATCAATTGTAGCGTTTGTTAAACCGCCTTTACCATTTAAACCCTTGACTTGCTTTTTTAATTGTCTACAACGAGATCCAATGCGCTTTTGAAAATGTCCAATACAATCTAGTTTAATTACTTCAATACCCTTGTATGTGTTTTTGACAGAAGTGTAGCTTTTGCTATCACCATCACCCAAGTATTCTGTGTATCGTAAATTAAATTTTTGCAAAGAGCGATTAAATATCTTTATTGCCCCAACTGTTTCCATTCCACCGGCTGATCCTTCATAGTTTTTATTGCAAATATGTGATTTTTTTGCTGTTAGCTGCTGCTTTGAATTACCAACATCTTGATTTTTGTCACATACTTTACACTTTCTAGATAATGCTTCGACATCTAAAACCTTCCCATTTTTAATTGATAATGCTGCCGTCACCCCATTGTGTGAATTAAATCCTCTTTTTTGCCATGTTCCATCAACAGAAACTCCAATATCTAAGATCTCGTTAAGAGATTTGCCTTCTCTGAGTTCTTGTACAGCTTCATTCATAGTTTCAACAGCAACAGTTTGTGCTGCAGTTGCCAATTTTTGAACAATAACATTATAGCTTTTATTGCATAATCCTTTTAGGATATTCATAAGAGTGGCAAACCGATGTAGACCAGCTTGGCCTTGACCAAGTGTTCGCATGGCATACACTATTCTTTTGTTAATATCAAACCCTGCTACATTTTTTGATGTGTCAAAGTCTAACTTGAAACCACAAACACAATTTAATGATAAATTTGATGCATATCCTTTGCAAGACTTTTTATTTTCGCTTAACGACAACTGTGATGGTCGCAAACATTCTGGACACCCAAGTTTATCAAAAATGGAAGCAAGAATTTCTAAATCAATAAACCTGTAGCCACTGACACATTTTGAGTTTCCACTTGGAACCATTAGTTGCTTTACTTTTTTTTTTGATGCACTTTTAAATACACTTTCACTTTCAATATTTACAGAGTCTACCATATTTTCATTATTAATATTTACATTATTTACACCAATATTTACACATTTTTCTTGCTTTCTTAAACCAGAAAATGTACATTTACGTTTTCGAAGACGTTTTGTAGAAAATTTTACTCTATCACTTTTATATTCAGTTTTAGACTTGTCCATTTTTTTTAATTATATAGAAAGCTTGAGTTGATTGTGTAGAAGCTTGAAAAGATGACTAATTTTAGCACTATCAGTCAAATATGTGGTTTTAAAGTATGGCTTTAGAGATAATGGGAAGCATTTCAAACTAAACTGCAAAAAAAAAACCGGTCAAAAAGCTATACTAGATGTGTTTTATTCACAGTTTTTCTGTAACTAGGGGCGTTGCTAGGTAATTTTGAACTCAGGTGGTTGTACAAAAGTGTCATTTATTGATATAAAAAAAAGCGAATTTCGACTAAGGTTTTTACCATTTGATTTCTTAATAAATTTACTTTTAAAATATCTGGAAAAAAAAAATTGAAAAAAAAAATTTTTTCTGAGAGGTTTTCCCCCTTAAGAAAGCATGCTCTTTAATTTAAGTCTTTATACCCATCATATATTTGGTAATCCCGAAAACATTCAGGTCAGTGACTACTCTGCAGAGGTACCATTAAAAGATCTTCTTTTTTCTACTGCATCAAGAATATGTTTAGCTTATATTGTTGTTTTAAATTCGTCTGTATTTAAAGATTGTACTAGACTAATTCTAATGTACAAAGCAACAGGGCAAACAGTTTATAAACAACAGTCAAATGATACGATTAAACTTAATACTGATGAATTTCATTTTATAAGCAGCTTAGTTCTTCTAGAATTATATTATTTAAAAATGTTGACAAAAAAGCAGGAGAAATCCAATCGTTAGCTAGTTACAAACTATCTTGAGTATTTCAAAAAAAAAACTAAAAAACATCAGACACAGCGTTTCAAATTTGTATGTTTGGATAAGGTTTTTAGAATATATGCTCCTTATATCTTACAAGATGCAAATTATGAAGTGACAGGCTAGGACTGAAGACAAAAAAAAGTATTGTTAAACTGAGAAAGATTGGAGTCCAAACTGAATTTTGAAAAAAGATATGTATAGTCATTAACCAAACAAGAGTAGGTGGGCGGGGACGGTACATCAAACAATTGTAACACATCGAGACAATTTTTTAATTGTAATACATCAGGACAATGAATCAACACATGTACAAAGAAATACTAGAAAACGTCACGTTGCCTTATGCCGAGGCAAAACTTCCTTTTGGTTTCCAAAAGTGTTAAAGTGTGGTTTAACGCTAACAAGATTGATGTTTTGGAGTGGTCCGCATCGCCAACAGACCTAAATCATATAGAAAATTTGTGGAGGGAAGTTGACAGAAACATTAATCGATCAACTGCAACAAACTTAGACCGATTTTGGATAGAAATAAACGCTACTTGGGACACAATTTATTATGTTATTTTTCTTAACAAATCTTCAATATGCCAACCACTACATCTTGGCAAACAGGCAAAAAACAAATAAATAAGCAGCGATTAAGTTGCGACTACGTTTCTTTTTTGTGCCATTTTTGTTTAATATACTTATCTCGATATCTTTTGTTTAATATACTTATCTCGATAATAATATACTTATCTCGATAATAATATACTTATCTCGATAATAATATACTTATCTCGATAGAGGAAGAATAATAAAAAAAGTTACTTAAAAAAAAAACATAAATAAATCTTATTATTTTACAAAAAAATTATTTATAGCTTTTGGATAATCTTCTGTGTAACCTAAACCAACTAGAGTATAAAGCAGCAAATTGGCATTCCATTAAAATCACGTCTCTTGAATTCTATAATATCACTTATGCTGTATTATTCTGTATTATGCTGTAAAACCACCTAAACTGAATTTCTTTAAACAAATATTATTGAGCTATTGAAAAGTCAAGAACTGTTCGAGAACTGTTCGATAACTGATCGATAACTGATCAAGAACTGATCGATGCTACGATTTGATTCCATCGATAGCTTGTACATGTTTGCAGCAATGTTAAAGTCCTCCTAAAAGTTAAAATTAAAAATAAAGAAAAAAAAAATCTTTTTAATAGTTGTTTTGGGAAAACAATAATATTTAAGAAAACCAGTGATAAAATAAAGTCAGAGGAATGTTAAACAGTTAACAAAAAAAACTCGTTTTTTTGTTAAATTTATGAGAGGAATGTTAAACGTTTGTTTAACAAAAAATCGTTTAACATTTTTCTGATTTTGTTTTATAGCTGGGTTTTTTTTAAATATTTAGCTAAATCTAGCTAAGCTAAATTTGAAAATAAAAAACTTAAGGCTATAAAAATAATTGCCAGAAATAAATAAAAACATTGCATAGTTATCCACAGCAATTGAAAAAATATAGTAGCATTCTTAGTAAATTTCTAACAGCGACTCCCACACATCGTTAAATCATTATTTACCTCTACACACATCAAAAAAATAAATTTTAGGTGTCAGAGAATAAGTTTTAGACCAGTTAATGAAACTGCTATTAGTAACTTTGCCATTTTTATGAAATTTTAAAAAATTATGATTAGAAAAAGAAGTAATACATTTTTTAAATTATTACCTCTAAAAAATTTCACTTTGTTTTTTAGAAAATATTTAAAGTGAATAAAAAAAAAGTTTACTTTTTTAAATAAGTATTTAATAGGTAAAATACTAATTAGCCAAACTCATATACTTTATATTCGTGTTATATATAACCTAAGATCATAAACTTTATATTCGTGTTATATATAACCTAAGATCATAAACTTTATATTCGTGTTATATATAACCTAAAATCATAAACTTTATATTCGTGTTATATATAACCTAAAATCATAAACTTTATATTCGTGTTATATATAACCTAAAATCATAAACTTTATATTCGTGTTATATATAACCTAAGATCATAAACTTTATATTCGTGTTATATATAACCTAAGATCATAAACTTTATATTCGTGTTATATATAACCTAAAATCATAAACTTTATATTCGTGTTATATATAACCTAAAATCATAAACTTTATATTCGTGTTATATATAACCTAAAATCATAAACTTTATATTCGTGTTATATATAACCTAAGATCATAAACTTTATATTCGTGTTATATATAACCTAAAATCATAAACTTTATATTCGTGTTATATATAACCTAAAATCATAAACTTTATATTCGTGTTATATATAACCTAAAATCATAAACTTTATATTCGTGTTATATATAACCTAAAATCATAAACTTTATATTCGTGTTATATATAACCTAAGATCATAAACTTTATATTCGTGTTATATATAACCTAAGATCATAAACTTTATATTCGTGTTATATATAACCTAAGATCATAAACTTTATATTCGTGTTATATATAACCTAAGATCATAAACTTTATATTCGTGTTATATATAACCTAAGATCATAAACTTTATATTCGTGTTATATATAACCTAAGATCATAAACTTTATATTCGTGTTATATATAACCTAAGATCATAAACTTTATATTCGTGTTATATATAACCTAAGATCATAAACTTTATATTCGTGTTATATATAACCTAAGATCATAAACTTTATATTCGTGTTATATATAACCTAAGATCATAAACTTTATATTCGTGTTATATATAACCTAAAATCATAAACTTTATATTCGTGTTATATAACCTAAAATCATAAACTTTATATTCGTGTTATATATAACCTAAGATCATAAACTTTATATTCGTGTTATATATAACCTAAGATCATAAACTTTATATTCGTGTTATATATAACCTAAAATCATAAACTTTATATTCATGTTATAAAACTAAACTCCTGGAAAAAAAAAAATTTACTCAATTTAAAGAAGTTTGTTGCATTTATATCCTTAAAGCTTGGAATTTATAAATATAAATTTTCAAAGTCCTTTTCTTTGCAGTCTGTAAATTAGTGTTGTTGAACAATTCATTTGCTATGTACTTATTTATTGACTGTACCATTGAAAAGCACTCCACTGTTACTTTGTAGGACTAAAGTCAGTTATTAGTTGAAGATAACTAAAGTTGAAATAATCAAAGATTCCTTAAACTAATTTAAATAAAGATTTCTCAACAATAATTAAAGTGGTGAGAGCTTATTTCATCCTTTACGTCCAGAACTTTCAAAACAACCCCTTACTTCCGTCAAGAAAGTAAATTACTCCTTCTACGCACGACTCTCAAAACCATCCGTTATTTCCATTAATTTCTCTTTCTACGTTCGGAATTCTCAAAACGATCTGTTATTTTCGTCAAGAAAGTTGATCACAGGTCTTAATGGAAAAATAATTTTGTGGAAAAACAGTTTCGCGGAAAAATTTTCACATTTTTTATCAAAAAATTAAATTATTTTGCTTTATTTTTATATTGCTTTATTTATATAATTTTTATATAGTATATTTATTTGTTATACTTAATTTTCTGATTTTAGTTTTAAATTAAAACAAACAAAAAAAAAAATTAACAAAGTGCTTTCCATATAATCAAAACGCTTACTTTTGATTATACCTAACTTTTTGTTTGATTCCAAATTATTTTTGCTAATGTAAAAATCAAGTGCAAAAAATAAACTGTTTTTTTTTTTAAAATCAATTGCAGTTATAAAGACTTTTTTTTTAGAATTTTTTGTTTGTTGAGAAAATCTAGAAAAATTTGGTAGTGTTGTGCAAAATAGCTTGCTTTTTTAGTATTAAATATATATTTTAAAATTTTTAGCTTTTTTCGAGAAAATATATATTCCCAACAACTTGGCTTCTATAACGAAACTGAACCTGTCTGACAATATAAAAATTTATTTTTTTATTTTTATAAATAAAAATGTTTATTTTTTTATTTTTATAAATAAAAATGTTTTGAAATTTTTTTTTCAAATTGATCTTTGCTTGTCAAACTGAATATGCGCTACTAAACTCAATTTTTCAAGAAAAATATTCCTCAGACTTTTAGAATTGCTGTTTTCTTTATTTCAAGGGGTTCCAGTGGAAACCTCATAAAAAAAAAGAAAAAAAAGAAAAAGAAATAAGGTTTTAAGAAATGTTTATTTTTGTTTAAAAAATAAAATATACACAAATTCCCAAGGGTGTAAAATCTGTATTTTACCTCATAAATTCACACGACTAGATACTAAAGCACTTAAAATATTATTATTAATCATATATATCATTCATTATTTATATTAAATATATGTATATATATTATAGTGGCAGCAAAAGCTGCCACTATAATATATATACATATATTTAATATAAATAATGAATGAAAATATATTTAATATAAATAATGAATAAAAAAAAAAACCATTCACCCCCTCCCACTCACTATTCCGGGTTTGCTCACTAAATTTCTAGGTAATGAAATGAGTTCCACTTCGAAAATTGTTCCGACACCGTTGCCACCTGATTTTTTATGTTTTTAATCATAAAATAAGTACTATTGCAACATTTTTCAATTAACTATATTATGCAGGGGGTTAAGTATATAACAATATTATGCAGGAGGTTAAGTATGTACAGGAGGTATGTAAAAATGTAAAAACAAAGGGTGAAGGTTTTAAAATATTTCTTAGGAATTTCACGAAAGCTCAGAGGATATTTTATTTCTTACTTTTTTTATTATTGTTTCATTAATTTTACATTATTATTCGTGAAGATGTCTTAAAAAAACATAAAAAAATATCTTTTTTAAAGGAATATTAACTTTTTTGGTTCGATTTCAATAAAAAAAAAAAAAACATTTTATTACGTTTTATTTTTTAGGTAACGATTTCAAATATTTTAGGTCACAATTAACTGTGTATTACTTTTATATTACAAACTAAATGCCTCTGCTTTCTTAACAAAATTTTTTTTATCGAACCATCTGACTTAAGTTACATTCAGTAAATATCACCAACAAATTACAAGCAGTCACGACTAAAGTTATTTTAACTCAGACATTTACGATTCTTAAACAAATAATAAATTATAATAATGTAAAAAGTAAACGAAACGAGTAAATTGTAGACCTATACATTGTTTTTGTGTTGTCTGTTTCAATCTAATTCAAGCATATATGTTATGTTACACTCTAATGTTTACATAATGTAAAATATTGCAATCTGTTCAATCATCCACTGTCATAGCAATTTTATGCTTTGCACTTTTTAATTTTTTTAAATTTTTCAAAAATTTCATTATATTTTCAAAAAATAAAGCATATCAAGAATTTAAATACTCAAATTGTATGTTTTGCTGACTCCACCTTTTTTTTTTTTAAGTATTACTTTGTTAATTATTGCAAAATATTTTTTATCAAGACTAAAATTGCATCCTTAGCAAATAAATCCATTTTTTAATCTAGATAAGAAACAATATGGGACCTAGGATAGATAAAGATATAAGATGTTTGTTGATCACAGACTAAAAACTGGTTAAACGGTTTATTGTTCAGTTTTCTCAAAACCGAAAACTGTTTTTATTTGTGATACATTACTAAATAGATAAATAGTTTAAAGATTTCTTGTTTTGACAAACATGGAAACCTGGAAACGTGGTAAGTAACGTGGAAAGCACAAATATTGTGAAAATATATAAAACTTTGAAAAGCACTTTGATATTGAATTTAGTTTTATTTATTTCAATACTTTTTCTACTAATCATTAATAGATTATATATTAACAGAATCTTTTAACAATATTTAAATTTAAAAATACTTATAATAATCAAAACAATCCAGAAAAAATAAGTGCCAATATTATAGGTATTTTGTCAATTTTTTTTTGTTATGGTAATTTTTGTATGTTGTTTAATTTTTGTTATTGTTGTTTAATTATTTTAATTTCAGATAGTTAAATAACAATCTAATAATATATATATATATATATATATATATATATATATATATATATATATATATATATATATATATATATATATATATATATATATATATATGTATGTATGTATATTATATATATATATATTTTATATTCATTTATAAGTATTTATAAATACATATATTTATATAAATATAAATATAAATATATATATATATACACACACACACACACACACATATATATATATATATATATATATATATATATATATATATATATATATATATATATATATATATATATATATATATATATATATATACATATATATATATATATATATATATATATATATATATATATATATATATATATATATATATATATATATATACATACACACATATCTATTTTACTTTATTACTTTAAAAAAACTTTGTTAACTTTTTTTAAAGCAATTAAGTGAGGCTAGGTGCTTTTTGTCTTACAGTATTTTTGTAATGTTCTCTCTAACAAGTTTATGAATATCTTAAGTTGCTTCTTTAAAGCTATATTTAAAATGATTGATTTAATATTTCCACAATGTTATTTCCCGATACTTTCTTAGGATATATCAATGATTTTGTTTTCTTCTATCATATATTGGAAGATGTTTTCTTCAAATAAGCTCCTTATTGTGAGTACTTTCTTTTAAAAGATTTTTGATTATTTATACACAGTAATCGAGTTAGAATAATCAAGTTACACATGTTAACTACTATTTACTCTTGTCTTGATTGCCATCACTCTAAAAAATTTAAATTGTTTGGAGAGCTTGAAAAGAATATCTGCTACAGCATTGGGCTCTCAGTGGCTTGTGAGCTTTAACTTCAATAATACTTAACTTTTTTCAGCTAATCATTATTACAACAATCTAGATCTTTCTATATTTATGAACGGTAATATACTGGATAAGTCATCTACCCTTTCTCTGCTAAGAATAACTCATACTTTCGATTTTTTTTGGAAATCATATATCAAACCTATTGCAAAATTAGCATCTGCTATGGTTGCATCTGTTTATCGCGCTTGCTACTTTCTTTCTTCAGTTTCTATTCCTTATTGTTACTATATGTTCTTTATCTCTATAAATCTCAAATCCATTCTTGTATAGAGTACTGTTACCAAATCTGAAGCAGATCTTTGAATGATGTCTTTTCTCTTTTAGACAAAGTGCAAAAACGCATTGTAAACATAGTTGGACCTGCTCTAACGACCAACCTTTAACTATTGTCTCATCCTCATAATGTTGCTTCTTTTTCTTTTTTCTATAAATACTATGCTATAGTATTATACGCTTTAATACTTTTATATATTATAATAACATATTATATATTATAATAACATATTATATATTATAATAACATATTATATATTATAATAACATATTATATATTAGAATATATATATATATATATATATATATATATATATATATATATATATATATATATATATATATATATATATATATATATATATAAATATATATATATATATATATATATATATATATATATATATATATATATATATACTATTATAATACTAGCATATTATAATATAGCTCTTTATATACATTTTTTTGCCTCTTCTATTACTTTTAACTATAATTTAATTATTGTATGTTTAAAAGAATTCTAAACTTTAAAAAGCTTATTTTAGATATACTTAATTGTTCAAGATAAAACATTTTTACTTTGAGCATTTAAGATTCTTGGTCATAAAGTGATTTGTTATGTAATCTGAATACCTGTTCATAAAAACACTTAGCCATGTTCTTTAAAATCTCTGTTACATTTGCATGTTGGAAGCCAACATGGTCATTGTAAATTAAAACAGCACGATAATATAAAGGCAAGGCTTCTTTGTACTTTCCCTAATGAAAACAATTTTATAAGGTTAAGCTTTAATAACAATCTAAAAAATATAAGTAAATTAGTAATAATATACATAAACTTTACAGAAAAAACAAAAAGTTATATAGGCACCGTTTTGCTTAGATGAACAGCTAGTACATTCAATGACGATGCAAATGAAGGTGAAAAGTTAGATTCTTTTTCATGCATGTCTACCATAACTCTAAAAGAAAAAAAACTTTACATTTATTAGCTTATTATTTATCAAAATTATTCATTTGCATCATATTAATTGTAAAATAAAAAACTTCACTACAACAATTGATACCTAAAGAGGCGCTCTAACTGACCATCCATTTTCTGTAAAATAATATATATATATATATATATATATATATATATATATATAAATATATATATATACATATATATATATATATATAAATACATATATATATATATATATATATATATATATATATATATATATATATATCCAGAAAGTATTAGCGCACTCATTTTTTCTTTACCTCAGAGAACTTTAAAAGATTGTAATTCAAAAACAATAAAAGACTGATTAATAATTTTTTTTTTAACTAATTCATAAAATTATGCAGAATTACTAATTGTAAAATATATAAAAGTATTTCTTTATTATCTTGAATTTAATTAAAATACAATAAGAGTGATAAAAACAATAATAAAAAAGTGTGCAAAAGTATTAGCGCACTTACAGTTTTTCAAAGACTTTAGGAAAGTTTAATATTTTATGTGACCACCTTTGTTTTTAAGGCATGCCAAGACTCTACGCGGCATAGAATCTATAAGTTTTTTGATTAGTTCTTGTGGCATAGTATTCCACAATGAATGCATTTGCGTTTTGAGCTGCACCAAATTAGTGGGCCTGCTTTTTTGTAATTTGCAGTCCATCCAACTCTAAAGATTCTCAATAGGATTCAAATCAGGTGAGCGAGCGAGCCGAGGCATCAGGTTCAACCATTTTTCATTCATGTATTGCTTAATTGAGCGTGCTGTGTGGCAAGGAGCGTTATCTTGTTGAAATTGCCAGGTTGAGTCAGCTTTGAAAATGTCCATTGATGGCTTTAAATAATCTTCTAATATCTCTCTATATCGATGTTGATTAAGGCCATCAGTGTAAAGATGCGCCAGGCCATTGCTAGATCCAGCAATACAGCCCAAAATACCAATTGAACTTCCTCCTCCTTGAACTCTTGACATGATAAAATAAGGATTATATTTTTCGTTTTTGTATCTTCTCACGACAACTCTTTTTTTGCAATTAATAAGTTCAAAATTTGACTCGCCTGAGAAAATTACTTTTCTCCAATGCTCTACAGTCCATGCAGCTCTCTCTTGCACCATTTTCTTTGCTTGAGACAGTCTTTGATGCTTGTAGTGGCTTCTTTGTTGCAAGGTATGAATTGAGTTGTTTTTTTTTCATCAGCTTGCTAATTGTTGATCGGCTTACTTGATGTGCACCCATCGCTGTATTTAATCTGAGACGATTTCAGCTATACTCATGTTCGGGTTGCGTCTAGCAAGCATAATTGCTTTATTTTTGTCCCTTTCTGACATTTTTTGGGATGACAGTCTTCGACTGATTTAAACTCATTATAGTTTTTTAGCGTTATTCTAACGCTGCATTCACTGATTTCAAGTTGACGTCCAATTTTCTTCAAATTGCTGAGACCACTTTTGTGCAGGCCAACAATTTGTAACTTTGTTTCAATTGATATGCTCTTTAAACCCATATTTTTGTTGTTCAGATTTAAAAGTTTCAACTAACTGTATTTCAAATGATATATCTGTTACTTCAATTATGCTTCTTATATTCTTCATTGACTATTATTAATCAGCAGAAAGTAATTAACAAAAATTAACCAAAAAAGTTTTTCTCAAAGGAATTAAACAATTGTACTAATACGTTTTAAATCAGTGCGCTAATACTTTTGCACGCGTAATTTCACACATTTTTCAGAGTAGTCATTAAACTTCTAATTAATTCATCAAAAAAACAGGTAGTTAGACAAATTTTTGACATTCTAATTAAATTTAATTGGTTTTACCTTTCATTAAAAAAAAACTAGTTCGTAATTAAAATTACTTTATAATCTAAATTGATTTGAAGTTGTCTGTAATAAAAAAATTACGAGTGCGCTAATACTTTTTGGAAGCACTGTATATATATATATATATAGATTGGTTGTTTATGTATTAGACTATATTAAGATAATACAAAACTCTCGATTGTAAAACAGTACTCAGTATTTCTATAATAGAACAATAAATATTTAAATTTTTTTTAAATAAAAAACAACATTATTAAGAGTACTTAAAGTTTTGTGCCATACACGGTAACTACTTAAAAAAAGCATTAGAAATAAACCCTTTAAAAATAAATACTTTTAAAAATTTCATTATTAAAGAGTTAGTTTTTAAACGGTTTTTTCTAATGATTTTTTTATGTAGTTAATAGCTGATGATTGCCGTGTATGGCACGAAACATTAAGTATATTAATAATGTTGTTTTTCATTTGAAAGAATAAATTTTCGCAAATAAAAAAAAAAAAAATTACGAAATCAGAAGTAGTGTATTGTGTAAATTTATTCTTTCAAAATTCTACTATATGAAAAAATATAAAATGAAAATTGGTTTGTCCAAACTTCCAAAAATTATTTTCCATTCTTTTAACTTTACATTACTAACTCATCTGCAACTCATCAAGCCAGTTGCTAAGACAAGGTCATTCACATTTTCAGACAATAATGAAACTCTCTTCTTTTGTACAATATGACCAGAAAGAGTAAACAATCTTTTGAATGGTACCGATGTTGCAGGTGTTATCAATTAGTACAATTGTGGCCAGCCCAGTGGCGGATTAAGACTTCTTGGGGCCCGGGGCTATTTTTGTTTTGAGGCCTTTTTATAGGCCAGAGTCTAAAAATTACTATTAAAAAAAAAATTAAATTTTTTTTTTTTTTTAATAGTCATTTAAAATTTCTAAAATTTTTGGGGGCCCCTAAATATACGGGAACTGGGGCTATAGCCCCCCTTGATCCAGCACTGGGCCAGCCTACTGTGCGGCCTCCATGTTTGGCCCACTGATGTAATGGGCAGGCCTCTGTACTAAGCTCTCTATCACCCAAGAGAGATGGCAAAAAGCAGGCAGAACCAGAGAGCATGAAACATATTTTTCTCCACCTAGTTCAGATACATATCTGCAAAAAATCAAACCCATTTCACTCAAATGTTTTGCATTCACTTATACACAAAGAAAATGTTCTTAAATTCATACTTACACATACAGACTCACTAATACTCTTGCACATGCAGTCAGACCAGTCAATGAGAAATATATGATGTAAGGTATAACTGCAGGGCTCCAGTAGCTTTTCCAACCTCTGCAACTTATCCATTTTCAGCTGATGTTGGCATAGTAATCTTTGTGTTATGTATGGTGAGGACATTCCTCAGTGGCTGTTCATTTCTGCAAACACTTTTTATCATGTCTAGAGTCAAATTCCATCTGGCTGTAATGTCTTAACAACTCCTTCTTTTGTCCAAATTCAATTTCTTTTTATTCTAATTCTGAAGCACTCATTAGAATGTGTTTAAAATGGCCCACAACCTTTCTGCATTTGGCCAGGGATTGTCAAATGCGTTATTGTGCAGAGATACTGTTAAAGAACGTTGGAGATTGTGTGTGACTCAGGGGACGCATTTAAAAGACAGATGTCTTGCAGCAGCAACCATATTTCTTGCACTATCTATGCTAATATGTGTTGACTTTATTTGAAATGTCCCACCACTGTGCAACATGAATAAATTGTTTTGTACATGTTTCAGCAAAATGCCTTTTTTGTGTCTTCATTATTGTCAGTTTAGCTACCCACTTTGCAATGGTATTTATCTTGTCTTTCTTTTGTTTCTCTATAGTTCTCTCATGTGCTGCATCTAATGTAGTCTGCCGAAGCCTTCCTCCACTGTTTGTTTGGGTGAGTGATTTGCTGGCATTAATGGTGTGCATTGCATTTATGTAATACTTTAGACTCAAAGTACTCTAATGATAAAAAAACGCTCATTTCACAAATAGCTTTAGTTCTATCAACTCCTTGTTGATGAGATTTAAAATAAAAATGTCTGTTTTTTTGCAACTTTTTCTGCTTTTATAACCTTTCTTTTCACTAACAACACAACTCTTCATCAAATTTATTTATTTCTTGTCAACTGAACAAAAGCAATAAAATAAACTCACACAAAAATTTCGATTATTTTATAGTTTATTGTTATAAAATGTAATTTACATAATTTTACAACAATACAAAATAAACAAACAAAACTATAAACAAACGTAATAAATATACAAAATAGTAATAATAATAAGTAATAATAAGCAAAGAAACAAAGACAGCTTCACAATAGAAAAATTAAGTAAAGTTTGTAAATAATATAATACTAAAAAATGGAGATTAATTTAAATTTATTAGCTCTGTAAACTAAAGATTGAAAGGTTTTGAAATGAACCTTTAGTTTAATGAAATATTAAATTTAAATCAAAAAGTTTATTTTTAACTTTCGGACGATCAAAACAAAAGGTATGTTAATGTGCAATAAACTAATTGTCGGTGTTAGTAAATTAATGCGTTAAAGCAACAAAAATGTGACCAAATTTGCCCAGCTTTAATACATACGTAGGTAAATGTATGCACATACATTGTGGCAGATTTTGGTTGGAACTCTTCTCCAAATGGTACCTAGTTCTTGCTTTATTTATGGATCGTATTTGCACATTTACTAATTCTTTGTCCATCCAAGCTCAAATAGATTCGATTGGATTTAAATCTGGTGATCAAGCTGGCCATGACATTAAATTTACTTGATTTTTTTTCATCCATGCTTTTACTGTATGAGCTGTGTGGGCAGGCACCAAATCTAGTTAAAAATTGCCACCATTTGTTTCAATCAATCAGCATGTTCACCGATGGAACCATGCAGTATTCTAGAGTCTCTATGTATGTATGTTGGTTGATTCAACCTGTATAAATGTTACACGCTCCGTTAAAATTCAGCCAAAAATACTTTTATACCGAAAAGCTTTTTCTATTTACTACTTCAAAGTTACTTTCATCACTAAAAAGTACTTGCTTTCACACCCCAAAGATCACCCAATTCTCTCCTTACATCGCCTAAATCTTGTGAGCTGATCTCTGGCTACAACAGGATTTTTAACAGCTGCATAGACCCAATTTTTAAAAATGATTCTGACTGTATTTGATGAAATAAGTTTTCCACGGTTTCGTTGAATGGGTTGGAGGGTTCACCATTGGTTGAATGGGTTGGTGGGTTCAGGCCTTGTTTTAAATAAAAAAGTGCTTAATGCATTAGCTTAACGCAATTTTGACATCATAAAATTATCTTTATTTTTTTTTATCGACGTTAAGTGTTTTAACTACCGCAATAAATAAATAACCGCAAACTAGTTCAATTTAACAATTAACTCAAATAACTACAAACGTTTTAAATGTAAATTTATTATGAAAATTTTGTAATGTTTTCAATTGTTATTTTATTATTAATTTTAGTTCAATATTATTTAGTAAAGTATATATATATATATATATATATATATATATATATATATATATATATATATATATATATATATATATATATATATTTATTATTTCTGAAATTTGTTTTTGAATAATTGTTTTTAATCGTTATTGAATAAAAAATGTTTTTTTTTATTTTTAAAAATTTCTAGAGTAAACAAAAAATATTAACATTGATAAACACAAACCCATGTTAATTATTTAAAAAACGATTTTGTTTTGACAAGCAAAGAAAAATTTAGGTTTTTAAATTCTTTTTAAACTTATCCTGTTTAGCGTTTCAACTTGCGTTTTATAAAAATATAAAAAAGTTTTGTCTGCTTTGAGCATATTTTTGATACATAGTTTAGAACGCGTTCGCCAGGAATTTAATTCATAAATTTTTTATGTTATTGTAAAAATATTTTACTTTTTAAACAAATCACAAAGAAACAGAGCTATAGAGAAAAATCGTTTTTAACGATTAAATCTTTTTTTTTAAATTTTAGAAAATTAAAAAAAAAAAATTAAATTAAATATAAAAGTCTTAATTATGCAAACTCTTTTGTTAATTATTCTTAAAACAAAAAAATAAATACTTCTACGCAAAACTTTAATTGTGCAAACTTAAAAAAATACTCAACTGAAATAATTTAAGTATATTTAATAATTTGAATCGTATCTGTTTATAATAAATTTGTTTATTAAAAATTAAGTTCCTTAACTTATAAACAAACTCAAAAGTATTTTCATTCTACGTATAATTACAAAACTTTATAAACCGTTGGGGCACAATTGTTTTAGGATAATATTTTATTTTGATGAAGATCACATAACTTACATTTGATTTTAATAACGTAAGTCTTCTCTTTTTCTGTGATCATCGCATTGGCAAAGTCCCAAAATTTAAAAGTTTTTAAAGTAAATCATTTGTCCTTCAAAATACAAGCTATATTCGAACTTTAAACAATTTAGAGAGAATAGAAATATACAAAGTTTTTACATACTAGTTTGTCTTGTTTTATAAAGAAAATACATATTCATTAGTAAAAAATGGAGACTAAACTAAAACGTGCCTTAGTATTTATTTAACGGAACCTGTAATGTGCTCGTGCATAATGAAACCTTCGTTATATAAATATATTCAACGTAATATTTTTTGAGATATTAAAAAAAATGTCAATTCTTAATTACAAATTTTTTTACTAATGTTTTTTATTATAAATTCAGTAAAAAATTCTTAAAAAATCTATATTACAAAAAACATTTATATTCTGTATTAATAAATATGGAATATAGATTTTTTAAAAGTTTTTTACTGAAAACTTTAAAAAATTACTACTTTTTATTAAAAACATTGCAAAAAAATTGTAGTTAAGGATTGACAAACAATTTTTCATGTTGCTAAATATTTGGATAAAAAGTTTAGCATCAAATTAATTGCTATAAAAAGCAAAGATATATCGCGATGAAAAGTTACAACAATTATTTTTAAAGTAAATTATTTTTTTAAATAAATATCTTTACATATCATTATTTAAAAGTTAATGTGGTTTTTTTAAAAATTAATTACTTCTTTAATGTTACCGCTAATTTAAAAGTTAAAAAATGATAAAAAGTAGCTTTAACCAAAACAGCTCTAGGCGTATGTAAAAATCGCTTAAGGCGTACGTAAATCGCTCTAGGCGTAATGCTTTAAAACAAGGCCTGCAACAGTATTCCATACAAGGCCGGATTTGAGATTTATAGAGATAGAGAATAGAATCCAAAGTAAGTGTCAAGCTCGATAAAGAGATGCTAATTTTGCAACAGATTTGATATAAGGTTTCCAAGAAAGATCAGAAGTAAGAGTTAATCCTAGAAGATGAAGGGTAGCTGACTTATCGAGTACATTACCGTTCATAAATATAGGAAGGTCTAAATTATTGCGATAACCATTAGCTGAAAAAAATTGAGTTTTATCTGAACTAAAGTTCACCAGCCACTGTGAGTCCCACTGTGAGTCGCAAGAGAGCCAATGCTTTTAACGTAAAAACATTGGTTCTCATGCGCAAAGATTTTAAAGAGTAATGTCTAATGTTTACCTGGTTATGTTTAATGAATATCTCCGCGAAGGAGAACTAATTATTTGACAAGGAATTAGTTCAACTTAGCGTGATGGTAGACTTTGTGGATGGAAAAAAAATGTTACAAATAACATTTTTAAATATTTTTAATAAAAAGTGCCTAATTAAAAACACTTAGTAGATTTATTTTAAAGCGCTTCGCATGTCAAGTTTTAAAAAAAATTTATTAATTCCTACCGTTTATCAGAAACAAAATATTCGTTTAAAAGATTTAAAATAAAAACATGGAAAGGTATATTCTAACGTTTACATTAAAAAAAAAAAAAAACATGCTTATAAATATAATAATACAAAAAAACTTGGATATTCTTTGGTGATATAAACGAAATGAAAGTAATCCTTAGAAGTAATTTTCACTTTGTTTAAATGCCTTCACATAATATACAAACTTAAGCAAAGATGATCTTTGTGAACGAATAATCTCAAAATGTTTTGAACGAAGATCTTAAAGATCGTCGTTCATAAAGTTTCGAGCTTATTCATTCCTTTCGTAATAAAAATTCGCTCAAAAAATAATCTTTGAAAAACAAAATATTCGTTTGAAAGGTTTAAAATAAAAACATAAAAAAATACTTTTAAGCGTTAGAAAACAAACTTAAATAAAAGTTTCATATACGTTTTCGTAATAATAATTTGTTTATTTTAGGCAATCTTTTGAAGTAATTTGTTATTTTGTTTAAAAGTTTTCACATAATATAAAAACTTTGAAAAAGATCAACGATTAAAAGTTATTTCGTAAATTTTATTAGTTTCTTTCTACGCATTTCTGAAGCGTTTTATTTGTCAAAGCAACCGTGGTTAAATTGTCAAAAAAAATTATTGTTCCCGTGGTCAAACAAAGCGCGTGATCGCACGCCATTCCCGTCCAAGCCTGTATGTATATATATATATATATATATATATGTATATATATATATATATATATAAATATATATATATATATAATATATATATATATATATATATATATATATATATATATATATATATATATATATATATATATATATATATGTATATATCCTTATAGTGTAGTCGAAAGAGACTTTTATGGTAAAAAAAAGTCTCTTTCGAATACAATTTTTTTACCTTGTCTCTTAAGCTGCATTTTATTGTCGTCGAAATGTCAAAGCAATTAATTTAATGCGGATGTACATTAAATTTTATTGTTTTTTAAAAAAACTGCAATAATAATGACTAGAAAGTTTTTTTAATTAGTGATGTTTTTGTTTTTGTTTTATTTAAAAACATTTTTAAAACATGCGCAAGTGTTGCTATATCGACTATCTTATAGCCTGCTGCTACAAGGGAGTGTTGCTATATCGACTATCTTATAGCCTGACTCTAATTATATATATATACACACATACATCTATATAAATATATATATATATATATATATATATATATATATATATATATATATATATATATATATATATATATATATATATATATGCATACTGTTTTTAAAATTTAAAAATTCAGTAAATTTTAGTCAACAAATACATTAGAAAACCTTTTTCTTGTAAAGTTTTGTAAGATTCTTCAAAGCCATTTGTACATTAGTGTTATCAGCAGAAAAATTCTATAAATTAAAATATACATTTACAGGGGAAATTTAAATAAAAGGTAACAGCAATAGAATTTTTAAACAGTAATTAAAAAATTTAAATATTAAACAATTTACAGATTCTTTTTAACAAACAAAAATATAATTAAACATTCCAACAACTATAACTATTTTTATATTAATAAACTTTTCTTAAACTATTTTTTCTTTAATAAATTTTTTCTTTATTAAACTATTTTTTCTTCAATAAATTTTTTCTAATAAATTTTCCAATAATATTGCAATAGATAAAGTTTGTTAATACATACTAAAAAAAAAAGTAGAAACATCTACTTTAGGGTAGATTATGTGATGTACCCTTAGTTTTATATATTATTGCTGAACTTAATCCTGCTGTTAATATTGCCCATTTAAGCATTTGACACAAAGCTCTTAGCAGCCATTGCAACTGAGGCAATGGCAAGAAAGTTTCTTATAATATAAAGCGTTACTTTATATTATAAGAAAACGCAAACAAAAGTGTATGCAAATATCAAACATACATAAACTTCAAACTATTCAATGTTAAAACATACTAAAACATATATCAAGTTTTACAGTTTTACTTTCACTTCAAAATTACATTGAGACAGCATCTCCTTAATTTTATCTATAGCATTAATTTTCTTTATATGAAGTCTTTATATAAAGACTTTATATAAAGGAATTATACAGTTTTATATTAAGAAATTATACTATTTATTATAAAGTCTCAAAGCTTGCAGAGCTTCTGAACAAAAAAAAACCTGGTTCAAATCCTACTACAACAACATTTTTTTTTTAAATCTTTTTTGATTTTTTTAAAATACAAAATTTAACACTTGAAGTTTATTTTATAGATATTATATACATATGTAAAAATATTACACACTATAACAAACTAAAGGATTTTTAAAAAAGCTAAAAATTCTAAAAACATCAAAACAGCGGGAGAAATTTGTTCTATATGCGTCATGATTGAGATATTAATGTTGTTAATGTGCTCAGGTAAGTAGTCCTAATAAGCTGTGGATGGTCTAAAAAAAAGTTATGGTCTGAAACTGTAACTAGATTAAACTTTAAATTTTATTTTAACAATTAAGTCTCTTTTTGCTATATTTATTTTTTTGCTATAAATATGTATGGCCAGATTGAAAAAACTGAAAATATATTGTGTTAAGGGGCAGATTTGAACCCTCGCAAAACAGCACAGATGGCAGCGTATTAAACCACTGATCTATTGAATTTATTCATGTAATTGAAAAACAAACCATTTTATAAACTCTTATACTGATTGCAATTAATCAAGACTTTTCTCTCTCTAAATAAACATAACTTTATTGCGTATGAATAAACTTGTGTTAATAATAAATAATATTTATAAAAACATGTTATACGCAAATGTTTAAAATCCAATTATATTATATTTTATGCAGGATTGTGAGTAATATAAGAATACTTATCTAATAACTACAACTCTTTTTGTTTTGAATTTTTGTATTTATGTTATTGTATTTTAAAAAATTGACAAGATTTAAAAAACAAAAAACATATTGTTTCATCCAAGTGGAAAACTTGAAACTTTAATTCTAGATTTGTTCCTCTCTTGATAAATTCTGATTGCTAAAATATGTCATCTTCTTCTTAGACCATTAAAAGTGATAAATTGCAGCTTTTTAGTAAATCGCTAAAGCCCCAAATTTTTTGCTTGTGTGACGTCACTTTGTGGTAAAAAACTAGAAATAAAATTTTCTTTCAACTTTTTAGGAAATCTCTATTATAATATTATTATATTAATAATAAATATCTTTATTAAAATAAATTCTTCAAAAAAATATATAGAATGTATTTTTATGGGATATATTCTAATAAAGACTAAATATAGTAATTACTATGTTATTTCTTTTGAACCATTATATTACTATTGTAATAAATACTAACTCTTATGATGTATCTGTACCATACAAACTCTTATGATATATCTGTACCAGTTTTGTATCTTTTTGTGCAATTGTATGCACCATAATCAAAATTAATAAAAAAATGTAAGATAAGTTCAAAAGCAAACTTGACGTATTAAAGTTTTTTTGCCACAAACTAACGTCACTGCGCTAAGTTTTTTGACTTAACTTTTAGATTAGCGTTTTATAGCTAAAGCTGTGCCTATAGTTTTTAATGGTCTAAGATCTTATTAGTTCCGCCATTTCGAAAGTGTTATGTATAAACGTCTGTAAGTGAAAACATCTTTAGCATACATTGAATTTGCAGGCAGTAGGAACAACCATGAAAAATATATCTGTAAAATAAGAAAACTTTAAAACTTTAATTTAACAATTTGAAATCTTTTTGCTATATTATTATTATTTTTGCTTATTATTATTATTTCAAAACTTATTAAGCTAAGGGGAGGTCTTAAACCTCCAAAAATGACACTGATGACAGCGCACTATACCGCTGAGCTATCAATGATATGCATCTAGGAGAAAAACAAACTTAATTGTAAATCTCTTATAAACTCTGCGCATGCAGAAAAGGTGCGCATGTTAATATATTTGTTCTGTAGGCAGTTTTTCAGAATAAATTTTTTTACAAAAAATATTGAAGTAAGTAATAGGTATATATATATATATATATATATATATATATATATATATATATATATATATATATATATATATATATATATATATATATATATATATATATATATATAAGAAAAAAGTATAGAAAAGATTGGTTTGGAATAAACTTACAAAGACCCGTACTTTTACTGGTTTCGTCAGCTGGTAAGGTATAATTTTCCAACTTTCAAGGTAAAAAACTATACCTTTAAGGTAGAAAATTGTATGACAAATCATTGTTTTCAATATAACTATTACCTTACTGAGGGTATATCACATATACTAACCTAAGATTAAAATTTCTGCCTTTTTATTTCAAGTGTGTATAGAACACGGCTGTTTCAAAACAAACTTTAGGGCTTCTTGTTATATTTCGAAAATATTGACTTAAAAGGTGTTACTAAAACATTTTTAAATATTAGAGATAATTTTGTTCTGTAAAAAGATTAATAACACTCTTACAATTTTGTATTTTATGACATTTAAGGAACTAATTAAAACCTCCTTCAAATTTTAAATAAACAGGGCGAATGGTGAACATAACTAAATTTCAATAATTTATTATTACTTTTATCAAAACAAAATACGAAAAAATATCAAATATAACCATTGTTAGACACATTATAATTTTAAAATGATTACTTAAACTAAATGTGATATGAAACAGGGATTATTAAAGATCATACATCAAAATCCCAAAACAATATTAGAGAAAACAATATTAGAGAAAATGTTTTGACATTTTATGTTTTACGTCATCCCCTTGAAAATATAAACACAAATTTATGCAAATAAAATAGAGAAATTTGCAAAATATGACAAGTTTGAAAACATATTGACTGACATAGTTAGAGGAACATAAAATATTTTTATGATTTTAATATGCATAAAAAATTGAAATTTTTCATAACTTATATCATGCATCAAAAAAATTACAATTGGAATTTAAAAAGATTAACTTTTATGATATAAATGCACTAAAAACAGAGATTTTGTAAACAAAAAAACATTCATGAATAAGTGTTCCAAGTTTTAACAATTCAGCATAAAGATAAGTCAGGTAATCTTAGTTTTTCCAAGGTTTTTTGTAAATATTGCAAAAAAACAGAAAAGTGATCACATAAGCATTTTTTTTATCATTCTGTTTAATGCAATTACTTATTTAACAAGGAAAGATCTTTATATTTTTTTTATTTGAAGATGAAAATGTTTAGAGAAAAAAAATACTTTTATTTTAAAGTTAGTAAATTTTTATATTTTTTTATGCAGAAATAATTTTATTTTTGATAAACTTATGGTGTCAAGTTTTTTTTTTTTAATGAGTAAAACAGCTGTGAGGAGTCATCTTCTATATAAAGTTTATGTAAAATTCATGTAGAAGATAATAAACTGATGTAAAAATATAACAAACATAAACAATTGTAAATATTAAAAGAGGCATCAATAATATATATATATATATATATATATATATATATATATATATATATATATATATATATATATATATATATATATATATATATATATATATATATATATATATATATATATATATATATATTATATATCTGAAAACATCTGGGAGAACTTAGCTTTGTATATATTATGCTGGACGTTAACAAAAAATTTTTTATGCAAAACTTTATTCTTAATAGTTTCGGAATTAAATTACAGGAAAATGTCTACAAAAACAAATTTTTTTATAGCGATACAGTGTGTGATATAGCAAATACAGTGTGAAAACAGTACAGTATGAACACTGAGGGGAAACTTTATTGTTGAATTTGGTTTAGTAGCCTTTAGTAATCCATTACCATAAAGTTTTATTATTACTATTATTGTTTATCGCTGGCTTCTTGTTATTATAAGTTAGTTATTATTTTATATTTTTTATAGTTATTATTTTAGCTATGATAAGCTTTTTCTTAATCTTTGCAAATGATTGTTTTAAAAAGGTATCAATATTTTTTCATTTCTAACTTAACTTACTTCTTTTGTTTGAAATGTGAAAGTCAAAATGTTGTTAAGTATTTCTGCCTTTTTTTAAATATTATTCACCTTCCCAAGGCCGAGAGGCCACTTTTTTATTTTTATTGCGGCTGCAACCTTCTTTCAACTCTTTAATTTAAAAATGTGAAACTTGTCAAAAATGCTGATTTTATAACAATTTTGTTAAAGTTTTTAACTAAATAGATGTTTTTTTACTAAAATGTATAAAAAAATAATTTACAAAAAAACTTCTAAATAAATAAACCAAGTAAATAAAAACTAATGATTTAATTTTAATGAGTTCATGTTCAAAGAAAGAGAAAGAATAATTAAAAAGAAGGAACAAATTAAAAACATTAACAAAATTACTTGAATGAATACTTCAAATGCCTTTTCAAGTAAAGGCTGTGCCTTGTCTAACCTAAATATTGTAATAAAAATAAAAACATTGTAATAAAAATAAAAATAATTGTAATAAAAATAAAAATAATTGTAATAAAAAATAAATACATTGTAATAAAAAATAAAAAGATTGTAATAACCTAAACATTGAAATAAGACTCTAAAAATACAGAGGTGCTAAAACAAACAAAAAAGTAAACAAAAAAATTCCTCAAAGAATATAGAATTGTTACAAAAACTAATTGATAATTAATTTTTTTAACAATTGTTTTGTAACAGAAAAAATTCAAAAAAAATAAACAAAACTCTAAAATTTAGTTATACTATCTTAAAAACATAATTATTAAAAAACATTATTATAATTATTAAATAACATTATTATAAAGTTGCTCTAATATATTTTTTTTGAGATGGCGAATTATGATTTTGCTTTTGTCCCAGCCCCTCCCTATACAAAAAAAAAAAAAAAAAAAAAAGATTTTTTATTAAACTAAAATGTTAAAACGAGCTCAAAAATATGTGGATTGCTAGACTGCTGTTAATTTTTACCAACTAGAAACCAGAATTATTTAACAATTAAAGATTTGACAATAAAGACAGGCTTGACCAAATACAGTGTGGTGGAGTAAAATTACTTTTTTTTTATGTTTGCAAATGCTTGTCGTTTTTATAATTTTTTAAAATTTATTTCAATACATTGACTGACACATATATTTAGACAAATCGATAAACATTAGTGTGTAGATATGTAAAATAGTTGTGCATAAAAACAGGTTACTAATAATTGCACATTTTGTATGCACTCATTTTTGTATATATTTACACTAATGTTTACCCCTAAATCTATGCATAAAAGTTGTATTGATATTTCTTTTTTTTTAAAACCTTTAAAAATAATTACTAATTAAACATTACTTCACTTGAAGGAAAATAAGAAAACTTAAAAAAATACAACAACTTTCTTCATACTTCGTTATTTAATAGCATACTTAGTTATTTTAGTTAAAAGTAGCGCTATTGAAAAAAGTAATCATGTTTTAGCATGGTTTCTTTTGAAGTATTTGAAAGTGTGTTTTAAATTTCAGTAACGAATTGTTTTTTATTATAAATATGTATTTTTATAATAAACAAAAAAGTATTAACTTATTATTATTTAAAATTTATTAATTATTTGGATAACAAATTGCTGAAGTAATGCATTTATTTTAAAAAATTTTCAGAGAACGCCTACGTTTGCATAAGTAAAAGTAAAGAAATGTGGAGTTCATTTTTCTTTGTTTGTTTTTTTTTTTAACAAACGGTCACACGTTTGTCGATTTGTCGCGCCATGTCCTGTTTTAAGAATCACCCCCAAAAAAAAAGATTTAAAATTACCATTTTAAATCTTTTCAGTATCAGTGGTTTTTTGTGCTTGTGACCAAAAAATTCATTTTTTTTATATTTCTCATGACATGTGAACAAGTCATCAAGTCAATCAAGTCATCAAGTCAATCAAGTCATCAAGTCAATCAAGTTAGAATGATGATCAACAATTAAATAAGAATTTATATAACAAATATATATAAATTATATATACTATAAAATATACAGACAGATAAAACAAAATCAGAACTTTTATAATTTTGTTATATCTGTCTACATTTTGGACAAGTCACAAGTAATTGTGCAGAAGTTCTGCTGGGTCTTTAATATACAATCCTAATTATTGATTAAGTTCCAATTGCCATCAGAGGTCTACTTACCAACAATAACAACAAACTTCTCTTACCAACAATAAAATTGGAAGGGTCAATCAGAGTATAATAAGAATATCAGAGTTTTCCTATTCCTGGGTAAGTTGCCTTTAACTTAATTATCATCATCGTGATCATCATCATTGACATAATTATGTCAATTATGACACAATTATGATCATCATCATCATCATGATCATAATTATGATAGTGATGATGATTGATAATGATGATTGATAGTGATGAATATCATATTATGATGATTGATAATGATTATCATTGATGATGATATTGCTAATGATTATGATAATTATTTTCATTATAGTGATGATGATTGATGATAGTGATATCATAATCATTATCATCAATCACAATCACTATGATGAAAATAATTATCTTAATCATCAGCTGCATCACCACCAATCATCATCATTATCAGTCATCATCATCATTTATGTTATATCAGGCTTGGACAGAAATGGCGTGCAATCAGGCACTATTGCTGATCACGCAAATGATTTTATTTTTTGACAACTTGCCTACAATGTTTAGATGATTTTTAAACATTCTTGAAATTTGAAAATTTCTCATTCTAACTGAAAAAACTAAAAAAAGAACTAAAAGCTAAAATTAAAACTAAAAGCACTAAATGCTAAAATTAAAAACTGGGAATTTTTTTTTTTCAATTATTTTTTTTTACACCTTTGCTTCCAACAAGGCTGCAAGCAACCACTGATTAGAGTTGGAAGTTACTGGAAAAGAAAAGATGAAGATTGTAGAGCAACACAACGATTGACAGACGACTTAAAAGATTCAAATTATATGAATCAGGAAAGCAAGATGAAGGAAGCAAATTCCAAAGGACTGATGTTTGAGGAAAAAAACTAGAGGAACAAGAGTTTTTGGAGCACTTAGGAACAGTTGCAGAAAAAGGATGAGACTTAATTGAATAACGAGTAACACAAGAATTGAATAACAAGAATGAATTTTAGTAGTAAATTTTTAGTAATTAAAAAAAGTAAATAAAAATAGAAAACAATTCCTTACGAAAAAAATATATAATCACGAAAATAAAACTAAAAAAATTAAACTCAAAGCAAGTCACTTTTACTTTTTGTAAGTTACTTTTTTTACGTTTTTAATTACGTTTAAAAGAAATTCCTTTGAAACTTTTCTTTTTAAACATTTTTTTAAAGTTACACAAAACGCATTTAAAAATTACTTTTAATGATTGTTTAATAAATGAACAAATTTTATTTAAATTATTAAAAATAAAAAGATATAATACTTTCTTATATAAATTATTAAAAAGTCTTATATATATTATTTTTAAATTGTATAAACATTAATTTTTTATAAAAAGTTGCAACAAAAAAAAAATGTTTAAAAAAATACTGTAGTCTATTTAAAATAGCAATTTTTAATCATTTCATGCTCTGAATAATTAGTCAAGTTAAAAAAAAAAGGTTTTTAACAATTCTTTGTAAAAATAGAAACAAAAAATATAAAGCAACTAAATCATCCCATTGCAACGGAAGATTCAATTTAACTTATTCATAACTTTAAGTAACTTAAAAAATTATCTTTCAAAAGATTTTTAGAAAGACATGGAAAAATAGTTTCAAACGTTTAGTGTCAACATAAAAAAAATTTACATAACATTATTTGTTAATTTACACAAAATGCATTTATTTTAAACGATCATTAGAATTAATTTTTTATTTTATTTAAAGCCTTTACATAAAATAAAAACTTTAGAAAAGATCAACGACTAAAAGTTATTCATAACGTAACAATTTTTTTAATAGCATTTAAATTGCTAAAACATCAAAACTGACGTGGTCAAATTGTAAAGAAAAAAATTATAAGCGTGGTCAGTTACAGAATGCTATCAAACACCATTCCTGTATTACATACATTACTGGACGATATTATGTTAAACAATTATTTTTTCATATTTATAATTTTGGATACAAATTGCTACAATAATTTTCCAAAAATAAATATTTATGCATGCATTATGAATTAAAACTGAAAAAACAACTATTTTTTTTATAGAATCAAATTTTTTAGGAGCATTTTGTCACTACTTGCATCCAATACTATAATAACAAATTTAGATGAAGTCTCACAGTGAAATTATCTACACAAAGTTATAATTTGAACAAAATATATTTACTAACATATTAAGAGATTGATAAACAAAACTCAGCTTGAACATAATCTCAGCCACATTTGAGTTACATTCACCATATAGTGTAAAGTACATGTCCAGTGACTGCTGTAAAATCTGAATTGCATCCCTTTATAAAAACAACTTTGAGTTCAAATTAATGTTGGATAAAGAAAAAATGTGAAACAACAAATTAAAAAAAAAGAAAACATTCTAGACATACTCAGGTTGGTTGATGTTAAAATAGACAGAACCAATTTCTGCATAAAACTGTAAATTCTCTTCAACTAAATTTTCTTCAACTAATGTCTTTGACAAATGGAAACACTCTAATAGAGCAAGTTTAATGTTTTCCATTTCAGATGCATGTTTTTTTCTAATAAGCATAACTTGTTTTTGACACGACTCAGCTTGCACAAACTTTTCTTGGAAGAAATACAAAATAGCTAAGCCTTCTAGAATTTTTGCATAAGATGTTTTCTGTTGATTATCGCGATCTTTATTGATATCCAAAACTTGTTGATAATAAGTTTCTGCAGTTTGATATTTTTTCCAATGTGTAAACAGCTTTGCAAGTCTAAAATATGATTCTCCAAACTCAATGCTGTCAGGTTCTAAATGACTTTCTTTTAATTCAATTGATTTTTCGAATGATTGCTGAGCAAACTTGTACTGCTTGTATTCTTGCATAAAATCACCTGTAATCAATAGCAGATTATAAAAAATACCATTACATGAGCATTACTTTTATGAGTTTGCCTTTATATATATATATATATATATATATATATATATATATATATATATATATATATATATATATATATATATATATATATATATATATATATATATATATATATATATATATATCGAAGAAAATTAGATAAGTGTTTTTACTAATTTATATATATATATATATAATATATATATATATATAAATAATATATATATATATATATATATATAGATATATAATATATATATATATATATATATATATATAATATATATAAAAATATATATATAATGTATATATATATATATAATATATATATATATATATATAATATATATATATATATATATATATATATATATATATATATATATATATATATATATATATATATATATATACACAGTAGCGTCCAAAAGTTTGCGGACAGGCAAAAAAATAAAGAATTTTAATTATATTTCAGCACATACTTTACTGAAGCCAACATATTATATACCAATTAAAAGGTTTTCAAATTTACAATAAGGTTTTGAACAAATAATTATTATCTAAATAATATTTTTAAATTGGTATACAAATCAACGGTCTTTGATAAGTTCAAAAATTTGCGAACAAAGCATTATTTTTTTAAATAGTTAAAATATTTCAACAATATTTGATCAAAATTTTTGCAAAAGCAAAATCACATTAGTATTTTGTAGGATATCCTTTACAATCAAGAATATGAGGCATAGAGTCAACTAAATTAATGCAAACGTCAATGGGAATTAAGTCCCATAATTCTTTGATTTTATTAAATAAATCAGCATAATTTGTAGGCTTAATTCCTTTCATTTGACGGTCAACATGTTCCCATAGATGTTCAATGGGATTTAAGTCAGGTGATTGGGATGGCCACTTCAAAACATTAACTTTACTCTCTTTAAAAAACTCTAAAACCGATTTAGCTGTATGTTTGGAATCGTTATCCTGTTGGTAAATCCATCCTCTAGGCATTTTATCCTTTTCATATGGTAACATAATAGTCTTACATATATCTTTGTACTTTTCTTGATTCATATTCTCGGTAATTCTATGGAGAGGACTAACTCCATTTCGGCTAAAACATTGCCAAACCATTACATTACCTCCTCCATGTTTTACGGTAGGCAGTTGGTATTTAGGATTGTACCTAGTACCTACTGGACGTCGAACATACCTGATTCCATCGGATCCAAACAGTATAAATTTGCTTTCGTCACTAAAAAGAATTTTTGACCACTTTTGACAACTCCACTTTAGATGTTTTGATGCAAATTCCATTCGGGCATTACGGTTTTTCAAGGAAACTAATGGTTTTTTAGCTGGGCGTCTTCCAAACAAATTAGCATGACATAAACGACATTTTATAGTAGAAATACTACAATTCATTCCATAGAAACGTCTCATTTGTACATTTAAATCTAGAGCTGTCAAACGGGGATTTTCTTTGCTTAGTATTACATGCTTTTTATCCTGATAACGCGTTGTTTTGCGTGGCCTTCCTGATTGATTTTTATTCTTTGTAGATCTAGTAAGCTCAAATCTCTTCATAATTTGTCCAACAGCAGACTTACCAACTCCATAAAGCTGTGCTGTTTTACGAAACGAGTTTCCTTTCTGAACTGATCTCAAGATCAATTTTTTTACTGGAGATGAAACACATTTCTTAGATCCCGTGATCTCAATCACTTATATATAAAGTTTTGAAATTATTTCCACAAATTATTTGTTTATAAAATCAACAAATTAGCTATTTTGTGGTGAAAATGTTAAAAGCGTTAGTTTGTCCGCAAACTTTTGAACTTATCAAAAATCGCCATTTTGTTAACCAATTTTAAAATGATAATTAAATATTCATTATTTGCTCAAAACATAATTCTTAACTTGGAAACCTTTTAATTGGTATATAATATGTTGGCTTTAGTGAAATATGTGCTGAAATTTAAGTAAAATTCCTTATTTTTTTGCCTTGTTTTGGACGCTACTGAATATATATATATATATATATATATATATATATATATATATATATATATATATATATATATATATATATATATATATATATATATATATATATATATATATACATATATATATATATATTTCCAATTTCCAAAAGCAATTTTAAATACAATTTCAAGAACAATTCCAAAAAAAATCTGCTCTATAAACTTACTATCATTCAAAACAAACAAGTTTTAAAATCATCAATTATTCATGCAACATATGTTTTTAAGCAGATTTATTTTAAGATTTATAGTGTACGTTTTCTAATGCGATGCATTAGAAAGGAAGTTTCTCTAAGACTTATTATTTATAAAAAATTCTTTTGTATTCCTATCACTACCTCGACATAACGCTTGTATGCTTAAACTTTCTTTTGTTGACACTAAGCTGTTACAAAAATAATATTGACACTAAGCTGTTACAAAGATAATGTTGACACTAAGCTGTAACCAAGTATGTTACATTTTTAATGCATTACTTTTTTTTAAATATATATTTGTAACGACTAAAATTACAGATAGTAAGTTTTTAATTTGATTTGATGATATGAAAGTTTGATTTTATATGATTTTATTATTTGCTATAAAATATTTATTTCTCATCATAAGTTTCTATAAGATAGATGTACAGTAACTTACAGTAACTTTACAGTAACTTTACAGTAACTTTACAGTAACTTTACAGTAACTTTACAGTAACTTTACAGTAACTTTACAGTAACTTTACAGTAACTTTACAGTAACTTTACAGTAACTTTACAGTAACTTTACAGTAACTTTACAGTAACATTTACAGCTAAGATCCTTAACTCAGCTCTTAATGTTTAGATGCTTTAGCTTTTTTTCGAGGTTAGCAAGGATCCTAAGAATGCCAACCTAACCTGACCCAAAAAAGCACATATATATGGGGTGATAGAGTACACATCAAGGTACCCTGTGATGCAAATTTTTAAATCTTTTAATTTTGTCTGCAGAAAAAAAATTTAACTTAAATGTTCAAATTAAGTAAAATTTTGACTTTATAGTGAAGCAATAAAAATACCTGTAAAATGGGAACCACTACATATAATTTGATAAAAATTGGTGCAAATGTAGCATATGGCTAAACACTGGAATGAATTATCCCCCTAATGGAACTATTCAACTTGCTAAGACATCTGGCAGGCTTCCATTTACAGTTATCCCAGAAAAATATTTATACTTAATTTTTACATAAATAAATTCAAAAAAAATCTTTAAAAAAAGAGACAGATTTCAGAATTTTTACTATTAGTAGTTGCATCTCTTTCTCTTTTCTACAAATGCTATCATAGTCGCTACTCAAAGGAGCTATCATCTCTAGTTCCATCAATTAAAAATCATTCTCGCTTGACTCAATGAGTCATTCAACAAAGTCCCATTCTTTTACTGTATCTATCCTTGTATGCTCTAAAAACTTTTTTTCTTCTGCACTTCAACCCTTTGGAAGTTATGTTTTTCTGACTCATACAACTTTTCAAGTCTAATGTCAACCATTTTTTTTCTCTATAACTCTATTATTTTTTTCTAGTAACTCCCAACTTACAATTTAATCAGATCCTGTTTGATGGTAATATAATGTAAAAAATGTATTTTTGTAAAAAAATGTAATATAATGTAAATAATGTATTTTTATCTATAGAATGAATTGTCTATAGAATGGTACATGTAGCAATAAAACAATTATAATAAAAATTGTTGATATTGCATAGTAGTAACAACTAGTGTAACCATGTTAAAGTAATTAAATCACAGTAATCTGTAAGGTTTTAAGGTCTAAGTAGCAAAAAACTAGCAGAATATGACATAAATCCATAACCAGTAAACCAATCCGACTGAAATTTTATCCAGAGTTTGGTGTGCCCATATGCTCCATTTGCACCAATTTTAATGTAATGATTCTCATTCTACAGGTGTTTTATTGTCACACTATAAAGTCACTTTATTTGAACATTTTTCACTTTATTTGAAGATTTGAATTGAATTATTTTCCGCAGACTAAATTAAAAGATTGTTTTTTTTTTATAAGCATATGAAATTTTTTAAACAACCTCGGGTATACTTTAAAAAAAGCTCTAAGAGGCTGAAAAAGGCTTATGAAAAATAATGCCTAAAATAATGCTCAAAAATATGCTCAAGCTTAAGCATTTCTTATTAGAAATAAAAAATGTTGTAATATAACAATTAAAAAAATATGTAAAAAATACAATAAAATCAAAGACATGAACTTCATTTTCATTCTCCCTGGGACCAATAAATTTGTCTGGACAAATTTTATTGACATCTTCATTTCCAGCATCATCCACTTTTAGCGGATGAAAATCACTGAAGTTTTCTTTGGGTTGATTACTGGCAAGATCAACTATGGATGGCGAGGGAACATTGTAATTATCAAGGCCCTCTGGTTTGATAAGTGAACCATCTGAGCCATAAGAACTGATTAAGCATCCAGCCATCGTCCAGCATTTCCTTCTTTGCTTCTCATACTTAGAAGGGCCTAAAGTTTTCCAATCTTCCCCTGCCCAATGTGTAATCAAAATCTGTCTCTCTTTTGCATGGTAGGGCATTTCATTACTGAACTGTCTATCTGAATTATTATCTGCATCCATTTTTTGCCATTTTTGATGTCCATTTCCTTCTTATACTTCCTTTTGTTCCTTTGTTTCAATCTAATTTTTAACTCTTTTTTTTGGAAAAATCACGATGTTTTATTTCCACTTTCGGATCAATGTCTAATTGTATTTTTCTAGCTTTACTCCAAAGCCAGGAAAAGTTAAGAATGTATCCTTTCGATCTGGCTCGTAAAAATTCCTATTAAATAACTTCATCTAATTCAAGATTTTTGTGGAAAGTCTTCACTTCAGAAAAAATTTGCAATAGGAGGATGCAGCATCTTTAAGAATAGATTTTTATTTTAAGTCATCTCGAAATCTGACATTGTGTTACACCAAACAACTCTGCTCTAGTTTCTTGATTTGTCTCATTAGACATTAATTGCTTCAGCTTTAAAGGCAGCAGTATATTGGTGGCGTTTCTTATCAGCTACTTTGGAAGACCCTTTGCTTGTACTAACAACTATTTTGACTTATAAATGTATAAATATAAATTATATTTTTCACTACTAGGTGATAAGTTCTTTACCTCTTTGAAGGATTTGTGATTCTGAAGTCTTGTTATCTTCTTTGTTTACTCCATCCATAATTTTAACATAAAAAGCTAGCCCTTGTAGATTTTTGTCTGATTCTTTTGCATTCAACAAGAGTTTCAACAGGTTCCAATGGCAATGGGAATGTTATCTCTTCTCCTCTGTGCATTACCTTTTTAGTGAAACCAAATGCTGGCAGTGAGGGCTGCTTTCTCTTTATTTTTTTCAACATTATTATTACTGTTTTTTACAGTATTTAAATAAAAGAGAGAAAGAGAGCATTGTTGTACTTCAAAGCATTTTTTTAACTATTTCAATAAACATATTTTTTAAACTTATATTTTTAAGTTCTAAATAGTTTCTGTTTTGCTATGCATTGCATTGCAATTTGGTTTCCAATTGGAGGGGCACAATCATCAATTTCCTAAAAAACTCCCCTTAATCTAAAAATTTCTTAAATAATAAAAAAAAGGTCATTTAGAATATTATATTGCTACATTATATATATAAAAAAGAAATATATATATACATATATATACATTTTTTTTTTAATATTTAGTTATTAGTATTTTTAATATTAAGTTATTAGAAACAATAGGAAAATAATACACTATATTTATAAATAGTATTTTCGTACTTAGTTAATTTATCAATTGTTAATCAATGATGCATATGTTGTTAAATTTTTTGTTAATGTATATGAATTTTTTAATATATTTTGTTTTGCTATTATGTATATATAGTAATTGTAAATGTTTTGTTTTAATATATATATATATATATATATATATATATATATATATATATATATATATATATATATATATATATATATATATATATATATATATATATATATATATATATATATATATACATATATATATATATATAATATATATATATATATATATATATATATATATATATATATATATATATATATATATATATATATATATATATATATATATGGCATTTTTGATAATAGTTTTTCTAGTTGGAAAAATGACATTAGAAAAACCAGATTAGCTAAGGATGCAGATGAAAATATTGCCTGGTTTACAGCTCTTCAAAATGGAAATAAAAACTGGAGGAACTGGTGTAAAAGATAATGTGTTACATTCTAGTGTTAAGAAAAAAAAAGAAAGAATTGAAAAGAAACAGGTGGCAACTGAAAACGAAAAAAGAAGAAAAATAGAAGATGAAGGAACTGTTTAGTTGGTTGGTTATAGTAGTGACTCAGCTGAAGATTCTCATGTCACTAAACCTAGTCGTTCTATGAGTTCTGAATATCAAAACTCTCCTAAAATAAAATATTAAACTCTCCTGAGTTTAATATTTCTAAAAGGCAGCAAGGAGAAAAAAAAGATACTGGATCAGATAGTATCACACTGGTTTTGCCAAAAAACTTCATTTCTCACCCAATAATAATAGCAATTGCATATAGAACTGAGCTATCAAATCCTCAGCTGATGATGAATACTTCTGCAACTCTAGTTTTACGTTCGTTTTTTATTAATAAATAAACAAGATTATTTTATACAATCTAAAAAGAAATATATATTTTTAATTTTATACAGGTGGTGTTAAACCTGACGGTGTTAGCCTTTCAATAAATACTATAAGAAGATCACGAAAACTAAATAACAAATAACGGCAAGGAAAATAATAACAGAATTTCAAAATAAGAATAAATCAGATTATTTGACACTTCATTGAGACGGAAAACTTTTAAAACAAATCTCAGGGCAAAAGTTTGAGTGTTTAACTGTTTTGGTCAGTGGCTTTCCTAATTGTGTTGAAGGAAAAATATTATCAATAAAACCTATACAGTCTGGTACAGGACTTGCTATTTGCAAAGGAATCTTGGAAGACTTAGAGGAATGGGATCTCAAAGCCAACATTGCCTCCCAGGTTTTTGATAAGACTACATGTAATACAGGAGTTAGGAATGGAGCTGCAACTCTTTTAGAGGATTGTAAATCAATGAAAACTTTTCTTTGGCTGGCTTGTCTCCATCACTTTTTAGAATTGATCTTGGAAGCATTTTGGAGCTCCTTATTTAAAAAAGAAAAAAAAGCTAATTATAATATAGATTTCAAAGATTTTCAACAAGAATGGATTTGCGCAGAGAAGGCTCCATTAAAAAAACTAAACAAGTTTCTAGATCTTGAAAATTCTTTTCTTAAAATGAAAGCAGACGAAACTCTTGTGTTCTTAGAGAAACAAGTAAAATGTAAGCATCGCGGAGGTTATTACAAGAAAGCTGCAGAGTTAGCACTTTATCTTTTAGGCGGACCATAACCTAAAGTATGGAAACACTGTGGAGCAAATCATCATGCCAGATGGATGTCACACTTGTTGTATGCACTAATGCACCACTTAAAGAAGACTTACTTGATTCTGATATAGCAAAGTTAAAAATCTTTTGACTTTCAGCTCAGATTTATATGTCAAAGTTTAGCGAGAAGCAACAAAAGGCTCTGATGCACCATTTAACGATATTCATTTATACAATGATATAGGCGCTCTAGGGCAGATCTCAGGTTTCTCTAATGCAGCTCAGAAAGCTCAAGAAGTTCTTAACAGGCACTCATGATATCTAACTGAGGAGGTCTCAGTCTTTAGTCTTTTTTCAAATGTCTCTGCTAAAGAAAAGACTAACATTGCGTTAAAGTTGATAGATGTAGGAAAAAATATGTCCCAATCCCACATCACTTAAATTTTTGTAGTGATATTTTTGCGTAAAAACGCTATTTTTAAAATAAAATCCGGCAGTACTTAGAAGCATCATAAAAAGCTTCTTTTTTTTTTAATAATAATTTTTATATGGTAAAGAACAACTTTTTATGCAGCCACATGTAATTTTTAAAATTTTTAGATTTTGGCCTGCCCTAATATATATATATAATATATATATATATATATATATATATATATATATATATATATATATATATATATATATATATATATATATATATATATATATATATATATATATAAGAATTTAGATTAATTTTGTTAAAAAGATTTTTTTTTTTCTTTTTCTTAACAATTTATGCTTTTTTTTTATTGTAAAAAAGTTATATATTTTGTTCCTTTTGATAACAAATGTTTTGCTAATTTTAAATATATATATATATATATATAAAAATACATATAACTTTATTTTGCATTTTATTATTTTAGTTTAAATAATTATAGAAAGGGACAGTATGGAATAGACTTACCATGACCTGTATTTACGGGTCTGGACAGCTAGTACTTTTTATGTCATAATATTAGCAACAAAAATGATAAAGCTTTAATTTTTTTTTGAAAAGGCTTCCATCCAAAGTTTAGAAACATGCCAAAATTAAATCAAGATTTTGTAGACAAAAGCAAAGTATTAATTACCAGAATATTTATGAAAATAATTCTGTTACTTTGAGATATTTCTAAAGCAATGAAATAACATGACAATATAATTAACTTTTGTAATTTATTATTTTTACTTAAACTTACCAAGAATATCATAAGTTAACATTTGCTGCCTGTAATTGTTATCATTTTCAGATATTTTTAACTTTTCAGAGTAAATTTGATAAATTCCTGCTAGATCAACTTCCAAACTCTTCCAATAATGTATCAACGTTGATAATTTCCCTTTCTGCCAATAATGAGTAAGCAATGTAGGTGATTCAATACAGATATACAGGTCTTGTTTACAATTAATCTGAAAAAGTTGCCATGGTAACTCGTCAGCGACACGGTATGTTATGAAACCAGATTGAAACTTCTGCATAAAGACTTTAACTATTAAAATGCGAAGAGATGTTAAATATTCATTGGCGTTATCAGAATTCAAACCAAGGTACTTTACAATTTCTTCCTTAAGCTAAATTAAAATATATAAAATTATCTCTCTTATCTGCATTATCATTTTGACATTTTGGAGTTTATTGCTTTTAGCTTTTTTTATGAAAACTAAATTTTTAAAAAAATAACAATTTAGATTAATCTAATTAGCATTAAAAAAAATGTTATGAATTAAAACATAATTTTTTTTTTTTTTTTTCTTATCATTGTATATATTTTTTATTGTTTATATATTTTAAAATAAAAAAGTTTAAAAAAAAAAGTTTACTAAGTTAAAAAATGTTGAATTACTGAAACTTAAAAACTACATAAAGTTATCAATAATGTTATATGTTGTACAAAATTTTAAATGTATTAAATAATATCATTACTACCATTATTATTATTATTGCTATTATTATTATTATTATTAATACTATTACTATTATTATTATTATTATTATTATTATTATTAATACTATTAATATTATTATTATTATTATCATTATTATTATTATTATTATATTTACTTATATTGTTATTTATAAAAATAATTATTATTTAAATAGGCTTTTAATGCTTCTGACCTCAACAACAACATGAATGTCATCTCTACTAGACATAATTTCTAAACTATAAATTTAATACACTTTGGTCAGCACTAGCATTATAATTGTTTACCAAAATGCTGCGACAGTTCATCGTCTAAGAGCTAAAGAATTACTACCCCTTTCAAACAATCAAAAAATATATATTTATTGCTCAAATAGTGCTAAACATTTATTATTTAGTACTTATGTTAATATTTACTGGCTGGAACTTATTATTATTTTTATTATTTACTAGCTGATCTGACCCATAAAAATACAGGTCTTTGTAAGTCCATTCCACACTGACCTTTTCTACACTTTTTCCTTATATATATATCCTAGCATTGCGGACCCATAAAATAAAAACCAAACCTACCTTTTCTATACTTATCTATTCCACACCGATCATTTTTATACCTATGATTTGTTTACTTCAATATTTTTACTTAAAATAATTCATTTTAAAAAATTGCTTTCAGAGCAAAAAAAAAAAAACATGTGCACTCTTTCAGCATATCCAGAGCTTATAAGAGATTTATAATTAGGTTTGTTTTTCTCCTAAACGCATATCATTGATAGCTTAGTGGTTTAGTGCGCTGTCATCAGTTTCGTTTTAGGAGATTAAACCCCTCCCCTAATAAATTTTGAATATTTTTCGATCTTGCTGTGCTTATAGCAATATTTATAGCAAAATTTTTATTATAGTATATATCTATAATAATTATAACAATATTTATAGCAAAAAAAAATTTGTATAGCAAAAATATTTTCTAATGTTGTTAAAATAAAATTCAAAAGTTTTCTCATTTTTACAGATTTATTATACACAATGCTAAAAACGTTTACTTTTAAAGATGTTTGTACGCAACGCTATACAAATAGCAGAACTAAGAAGATTTTTGGCCATTAAAACTATAGACTATAAAACGCTTAGGAATCGCCCATAAATTACGTAAAGCTAAATTTATTTTTAAAAAAGAAGACGGAGATCTTTAGTTCTTTTATGTGGCGATCTTCATTAAAATTGATGAGCTATTTTGATTTTTTATTTAACATACAACTGCGAATAAAAACTTTGATATTTTTTGTTTTGTTCATTAGTGAAATTTAACGCTGCATAATTTATGGACTATCTCTTATTTAAAAGTTTAGATTAGGGATCAGCCAAAAAGTATATAAAGCCAAAAAATAATGGAGTATAATACTATTTTGATGGTTATCTAAACTCTGTCAATTTTGCGCACTTGGTTTAAAATGTTTAACGGGGGCGTGGTGAAATAGCTGTAAAACTCTAAATTTCTTTATTGCGTCAATATTAAATAACTTTAAATTTTAACTATTTTCAATTGTATTTAATTTAATAAAATGGTTTAATTTAAATATAAAATCAGAATTTCCGATTATGTTCTTATATAAATTTTCTTATGTTACTCGTCACTCAATTAAGTCTCATCCTTTTAATGTGACTGTTTCTAAGTGCTCCAAAATTTCTTATTTGTCTAGTTTTTTTTCCTCAACCATCAGTTCTTTGGAAATTGTTCCCTTTATTTTTTTTTCCTGATAATTTGCAATCTTTTAAGTCACCATATAATTTGCAATCTTTTAAGTTGTCTATTAATCCTTATCTTGAGCTTTATTAACTTTATCTTTTCTTTTCCAGTAACTTCCAATTCTAATAGTGGCTGCTTGCAGCCTTGTTAGAAGTGAAGATGTTAAGAAATAAAAAGAAGAAAAGGCTACTAAATAAGACTCTGATACGCACTTGTTAAACAGTTAGTCAACAGCTCAAACAAGTATAGACAACACACAAGTATGGATAACATTTCTGCAAGGCTGAACAGGTATGTTTTCCAGACCACAAGCTGTAGAAGAGTCCAAGCATATATAATACTGAAGCTGGGTTGGTAAGAATGTCAAGCAATGGATCAACCTGTTTGTTATTATTAGCTATATCAGATAGGATTATTTATACTTGATTAGTCAAATCAAGTGATGAGATTAATAATAAGTTCTTAGCAAACAGTTCGGCTTTGTCTACAGGTGAGGTAAAAAAATCTGAACCATGCAAGGTAAAATAACAGATTTGCCCTTATTATAGACATTTATAAAGATTCTCCAGAAGTCTCAGGAGCATTACTTAATAGCGGGCTTTTAAATTAGAAAAAACCATTTTACCAATGGTTTCTAGCAATAATAAACAGACGTTTATTTTCTGGAAAATTATTTTGGTGATAGATATGAAAATAATGGTTACAATTTAAAATAACATCAACACAATGAAAGAAAACCATGGAGAAGAGTGAGGCTTAACTTAGAACCGTTGTGAGGGAATAAAAGATTCCATGCTAGCCTGAATCTAAGAAGTTACATAAAAAGGATAATTTTCAACAGGAAGACAAAAGATTTCTACTCAAGGGTCATCATGAAAAAAAATTAGAGAAAGAGCCCCAGTCAGCTTTAAGAGGTACAATGATAAAGGGATTCTGATGGTGAAGGAAAATGAGATAAGAGTTTTAGAGAGATCAAACCATGATTAGAAATACCTAAGGGTAAATGCAGAGAAACTGAGTACTGACTAGAATCAGAAACAAAACATAAGTCAAGCAGAGAAAGTTAATAAGTTGAATTGTCTGGAAAAAAAGTTGGAAATTTGACTGCTTGTGGTAAAGATTGAGTAAGGAAAAAGTTGTGGGCCTTACCACCAGCAGATTCACTTACATTTGAACCATGCCATTTAGTGTGATGAGCATTAAAGTTACTAACAACAATAATATTGGCTGAAGGATATAGAAAAGGGCTTGGTCAATTCGATCATAAATAACATCGAAAAGAGTGCAGTTTTGAGATAAAGGAGAGCGATAAACAAAAAGCACATAAAAGAATAGTCTGCGGAGTCAAACAAGTTTCTCAACAAATGGGTGAATTCTCATGAATGAAAATGCCCAGTACACTATTTAATAGTCCAAGCAATTGTCTCATTACTATAAATAAACTCTAAACCTTAACATAGGACTCCAAAATGTGCACACCAAAAGTACAAACAGGGACACCATCCATGCGCTAAATGGCACTATTAGTACTCTTATACTTTACAACTGTTGATGGAATCAGCTTCTCTGAGAGCTAGCACAGAGTTTGTTTAACCCGACTTCCTACTGGTCTCAGAACAATAAAACTGAGTTTTAGAGCTGTACCCTCATTAGGAGATAATAGAATAAGTTGCCTGGTCAAAAAAGCAGTGACGCAAGCAAAACTCATGCATTGAGTCAAGAAGATCCAGCATTCAACATCCTTAACTGGAAACAATGTATTATAAATACATCTACGCCAGCCTAATAGATAAAGAAGAGGTGCGAAGCTGGTTAACAGATAGAATCTATTTATCCCTTAAGTCTTTGCCTAGAAGTCCTTCTACAAGACAGTAGCCGGATAGTAGAAGTCCTTCTACAAGCCGTAGATAAGTAGCCGGATGTATTTAATGTCTGCTCAAGATGAGTACTTTTATCAAGACACCATCTCTAGCCGTTACTCAATTAAGAGCCATAAAGGGTAGTAAGTGACTGAGGTTGTTAAGTAGTAAGCAACTGAAGTTAATATTTGACTGGGCCGGGTTTGATAAAATATAACTGGGGCTGGGTTTATGACTGGGACTGCATAAACATTTATATACATCCTAAAGTACATATACATCCTAAAGTACATATACATCCTAAAGTACATATACATCCTAAAGTACATTTTTTGTGGTTAAATTCATGTTATAATTTGTATATATATGCATATGTAAACATCATTATGATCATCATCATCATTACCATCATAATCATCACCATTAATGTCATCATCATTATCATAATCATTACTGTCATTATCATTATTATCATCATCATTATTGTCATCATCATTATCATCATTATCATTATTGTCATCACCATTATCATCATTATCATTATCAATTTATTATATATATCAGTGCACTATATATATACTAGGGCACTTATCACAAATAACTTGTAAGAGATGGGTCCTTATAAAAGATAAAAACCTCAGCCAAATACCAAGATCTTTTTATTGAAATATTTAGACCTGAAAATGTTTTTTATTTCAAATGTTTTTACATGGCATTATTAATCTTTATTAGAAAAAGTTGATAAAATGTTGTAAAGAATAGTGTTAATCTTATTTTAAAAATGTATTTAAAATGATAAACAAATAATTTTTTGTTTTTATACATAAAAATGTTAATATGCATTAAAAAAATTTTCCTATTTGAGCTTTTTTTAATTATTTTTTTTTATATGTTACAATATTGCCTCATACATACAATAACTAATAATATTTTAATATGATAATAATAAAAAATAATATCAACAATAAAATACATATGTATAACATTTATTTAAATTATAATTGTCAAGTCAGGTTATCCTGCTACTGGTAACATCTAACCCATTACATCTTGCTTCATGTCTTGCTGCATTGTAGAATATGCTTTTTTAGGCAAATGCTAGGAGAAGCAAATTCAGACTAAAGACCAGTAAGTGACCAGGGCCCTGGCTAAAAATGAGATTTTTTGCAAATCAGGCCCCAGCAAAATTATAAGATTTAGCAGAGGTTGATTGCCGAGGCTAGAAAAAAAATCATAATTCTTTATATATTATAATTTTATACTTACATTTACTATTTATTAAATTATGGCATATATATATGCTAGTATTTAATAAATAGAGACAGATAGAGTAAAAAGATTCCACTTGTTGAATAAAAAGCCAAGTAAGAATGAAATTTAGTTTATTGTAATAGAGATGGTGGCTCATTTGAGAATTGATCATGATTAGAGAAACAGCATACAAGAGGAAATTGGTAAGCGCAAATTAAAAAAATTAGGATTAATATTAAAATGTATTCTACTTGATTTAATAAAAAAGTACAGTTATTAAAATTTTTGTAAAAAGTAACTCAAAAAAAACTACTTAAATAATAGCAATCGCTTTTTTGTTAAAAGTTACTGAAACTCAACGAAGCGTGCTCAAGAATAGCTGCTGAAAAATAGAACGTCAATAGTTTGATAAGTTTACATAACCTGGTTTTGTTACCCGGTTTCTACCGATGTAAAGCAAATTTCTACAAAAACCCTGAAAAAGGCTAAATAAACGTAAAAAATAAAATAAAAATTAATTTGCAACCTGTAATCATAAGCCATTTCATAAAACTTAAAATATAAAGTATATCTAAATGAGGACATATATAAAACGTGCATTAATTTTTTTTCTTATAAAAAAATAAAAGTTGTTTTACTACTACTGTTAGTGCAAGTAGATTTTATGTTATATTTTTTAGTAGAATTTCATTATATAAAATATCTTGCATTTATATACATAAAAAAACAAATCTTTGCTAGTCTCTTTTCCTTAAATAATTTATTTCATTACTTCAAATATTACACATATTAACAAGAAGTATAAAGGATCTAGACAAGAAATTGTTTAAAACAAATTTTTGAATCAAAACGTTTAGTTAAAAATTCACTACGGTGCATTAGGCAAATAAATTAAAAAACGTAACAAAATTTTTGTTTAAACTAAGTTAGCCGTTATTTTGAAAAAAGTGTCGAGCATGACTTCCACTTATAACATTTCTGTAATGTTAAACGAGAACTATATATAAAATAAAAAATTTAGTATAAAAGTTTATTTATAAAATAAAATTAATTTTCATATTTAACCACATAATGTTTTCTTTTTGATAAATAATTATTTTTTCTTTTTAAAAATGACTTTTTAAAAGAAAAAATAATTATTTGAAAAACTTTAAATTACATATTTGAGAAAAAAAAATCAAATATTAGCAAATTTTATAATCTTTTTTAAATGTTTAGTTATAATGTTTTTTATTTGTTTAGTATTGACAAAACATGTCAAACGTCGAGAAAATAAACAAATGTTTTTACATTTTAAAAAACGAAACATTCCAAAAAGTCAGTGGCCATCATGTAATAAATTGATTATTTGAAATTTTTAAACAAAGTTAATAATTTGAAGAAATATTTAAAAATTGCTAACAATCAGGGTGTAAAATATCCTAAATTAAATTTCATAAGATAAATTTATTGTAAAATTGCATTTACATTTAAAATGTAAGTAACTTTTTAATTGTAATTTTAACCATTAGAATTACATAGTTGAGCTATTCAAGTATTTAAATGTAAAGAAATTGATAAATACTAGAAAATAGTTGAATTTATTTTTGTTAGCCCCGGCTAGTAACCCCTGCAAATTGTGTTTGTTTAGCCAGGGCCGGGGCCGGGTTTGCAAAAACCTCTGTTTTTAGCCAGGGCCGGGGACCCGGTCACTTACTAATATATACCACATAATTAATATGTACATATATACCACATAAACATATGTACATATATACCACATAAACAAGAATTCAAGGATTGCTTAATAGCTTTCATATAATGCAAATGAAAAAACAAAAATACTTTAATGTATGATTCTACATTTCAATTTATGTTAATTTTTTTCTTTCTGCTTTGTAAAAATATTAGAATTATATATAAACTGTTATTTTCAAATGTTAATTATATATAATTGGTTATCATATATAATCATATCTTAATTAATTTAAATAATATAAATATATTAGATTATACAATTATATAGTTTTTATCTTTTTAGTGATTAATAAAATTCGCTGAGGAAAATATCTAGAAAATATTTAAAAAATTTAGGAAATGCAACACCAATCCTAGTGGTGCCACACCTTGAAGTTTACCTGAATTCTAGTTAACTGCACCAATCCACAAACATCCCATGTTAAATATAACTTTGATGTTAATGAAACTACAAAACAAACATCTGCTGGCTTGTATTCATGACATAACTCTGTTAGCTCCATCATACTTAAACCATTGTAAGATATAGCTAGTAAACAAAGTATCCTAAAAACTAACTCTTTATTATTCTCTTTTATAATCTGTTTAATGATTAAGTAAAAAAAATCTTCAATTTTTTTTACTGTCAAGCATTTATTAAGTAGCTTGGATAAATCCAATTTTGTGTTAATGTGCAATGCTTTTAATGTATTTCTAAACAAACAACTTGATAAATTGTTAGAAGCAGATTCAGTACAAACACCATTTGGAAATAAAGTTTTTACTACTTCTTCTATAACTTGGGTGTGGTTTGAAAACATTGACTTTAATTTAAACAATCCATCAGAGGCATTTCCTTGAATTTCTAATGTAGGCCATTTTAACCAAGCTTGTGGGTAAATATTACTATTGACAGAAAAAACAACTCTTACAGGTACAGGCAAAGGGTCAAGTACCCACTTTAGAAACTCAGCATTATTTCTAATTAAATCAGCACCATCTATAACTATGACAACACCATTTTTGAATTTATTGCATGATTTTTCTAACCACAAAGGAAACTCTTTGATTAAATGACTCTCCTCACATGAAGGTGGTGATTGTTCTAATAGGATAAAAGAAAAACGACGCAACAACTGAATGGGATCGCAACTGTTTATTGAACCTATGGAGGCAAAGTGATACAAAACGCACAAGTTGGGATAACTCTGCTCTAAATGTATGACCCAATTTGATAAAATGAATGACTTTCCGGAACCAGCAGGTCCACTGAGCAATAGCGGTTGAGCAGGTCCCTCCTGTGATATATAAGAGTCTAAATATGCTATCTCTTTACCAATATTGGAACAGAGACCCTGAAATTTGCAATGTTGATTTAAAATGGTTTGCTGTTCTTTATGATTGTATACATCAAAACTTATTGAAGGATAGTATAATCTTTCTTCTTTAGAACAATTATCTGAACTTAATACTTCTTGATTTTCCTGTTTTTCAACAAACTAAAAGCATAAAAATATACATATTAAAAACAAAATCATATTTTCTGTTGACCAAAATCAATAGAAATTAATATTACTAATAACAATTTAATATAAAAAAAAAAGACAAGAAAAACATATTTACTAATATACAAATTTCAGAAATCTTCTTGATACACATGGAAGGTAAACTTTCATTATCATAACTTATTGGTAATAAATGAAGCTAAATATATATATATATATATATATATATATATATATATATATATATATATATATATATATATATATATATATATATATATATATATATATATTTATATATATATATATATATATATATATATATATATATATATATACATAAAAAAAATTGTAAATAGCACAAATAAAAAATTTTATAAAGTTTTTATAATTTAATAGACTTATAATATAGCATAATATAATGTAGGGGAAGTTGGTGTACCGAATTTTTTAATGCTGAAATTCAAGACACAAGACTTACCTAAAAATGAAACTGATATGATCTTCTGATATGAAACACATCCCATGATCAAATCTCTAATTACTTTGTATTAGTTTAAGTATATTGACTTAAAAAACTATAAAAGTCCGAGATATAATTCTATTAAATAGAAGGATTTAAAAATTAGTGGCCCTAGGCAAAATAAGCTTTTTTTAAATGTACCTAGGGCTACTAGCTATTGAATCTAGGACCACTCTCTTAAAATTAGGTTTAAGTCCAATATAAATTGAAAAAAAGGTAGACATAAATTTTATTAGAAAACCTTAGATTGTTTTCAACAAACTTATCTAGTATTACTGGATTGGAACTCTTAAATAAATAACAAAATTTACTAATAGTTCTACGCATAAAATAGTAGTCCCAAAACAACCAATAGTAAAAATAAATTCTGCACCAATCAAAATTCAACAACCTACCTCTTTATCAGGCAAACTCTTTATGCACATATAGCACTAGGTACAAACAAACTATATAGCCCTAGGTACAGGAAATAATAGCCTCATAAAAAATGTCATTTATTAATGAACTCTAATTGAGAGGAAACTTATTGAACATTGCATTTAATACTTAAGTTACAAACAATAAAATATACAAAAACTTATAGAAAAGTATTTCATCTAAGATTGTAAAACAATCTAAGATACCCCCGGCAAAAATTTATTTTTGACCATCAAATTGTGTTTTTCAATTAAAACAAAGCAACTCTCTGATAATCAAAATAGGATTAAAAAATTTACATTTTTATAATCACCTGATGGAAAAGCATTACTTAGAACTTTATAGTTTTCAAATAAATTGAGGTGGTCCTAGGTATAAGGAGGGCCTAATACACAAACTTCCCCTACTAATAAAAATTGTTACAAGTTATTGACTTGTAACAATTATTCTATTTATAAAAACCTTTCTTTTGTCTTCTTTTATACTTTTTAATAATTCTTCCCTGAAAAAAAAATGTATATATCTTTAACAATAAATATAAATATATATATATATATATTTATATATATATATGTATAAATATATATATACATATACATATATATATATATATATATATATATATATATATATATATATATATATATATATATATATATATATATATATATATATATATATATATATATATATATATATGTATATATATATATATATATATATATATATATATATATATATATATATATATCCTTATCATGTAGTCGAAAAAGAATTATAGTAAAAAGTCTCTTTTAACGCCATTTTAACAACTTCAACAATTATGCTACATTTTAATGTCATTTAAAAGTTAAAACTAATGCGGAAGTACATTAAATTCTATCATTTTTTTTAAAACTGCAATAACAATGACTAGTAAGTTTTTTTTAATTAACAGTGTTTTTGTTTTTTCAAAACATATTTTTAAAATGAGCCCGGAATGTTGCGACATGGACTATCTTATAGCCTGCTGCTACAAGGAAGTTTTGCTACATTAACTATCTTTTAGCATGTTGCTACATGGCAGAGCTGCTAGATGGACTAAACTATAGCCTGCTGCTTCAATAAATATATAAAATATACAGGCCTTGCGATAAAGCATAGGGCGATGTGAATTTTACGTCGTCCAAGAGCGATTTTGCGTGTAGCTTGGGCTATTTGCGTCATTCAAAAAATTTTTTGTTTGAGTATATTTAAAGATATTTTTGAGCGGAATTTTAATGAAGTAATTTACCATTATTTTAACATTTAATAAAGTATTTTAAAAACCGCACACAGTTGATACAAAAGTTTGAATTACAAAAAAATTAAATATGCTCATTATTTACAAGTAGAAAAAATTCAGATTAAAAAAAAGTTTAAACCTTTTTAAGCTAACATTTTAATAAAATTATTTAGCAATAGCAAAGTTGTCAATAAAATTGAACAAAAATACTTTCTTTTAGTTTTAGATTTTTAAACTTAATTATTTTACAGGGGTTTGTTAGGTTTTAAAATTATTCCATAGATTTAAAAATATTTTAACTATTAGACGTATTTAAAGTATTTAAAAATAATTTTGAGGAAACATTTTAAAAATTGGTAAGCGCAAATAAAAAAAAATAAAAGGATTAATATTAAAACGTATTCTACTTGATTCAATAAAAAAGTACAGTTATTAAAATTTTTGTAAAAAGTAACTAAAAAAAAATTACTTAAATAATAACAATCGCTTTTTTGTTAAAATTTACCAAAATTCTTTTACTTATTTTACTAGAAATAAAATTCCTTGTAAACATTAAAAATCTATTCAAAACGTTCAGTAAAGTTTTTTAGTAATACAAATGATTGTGCTTATCAACCGCTTTATGAAAATAAATAATAATAAATAAATAAAAAAATATTATATAAAATCGCTGGTAATAATATTAGTTATTGCACAGTTTTTAATCGTACAATATTTAAATTTCCAGTTTATTACTCGCTGACTTTTTAAAAAGAAAAAATAATAATTTGAAAAACTTCAAACTATATATTTGAGAAAGAAAAAAATCAATTATTAGCATATCTTTTTTAAATGTTTAGTTATGTTTTTTATTTGTTTAGTATAGACAAAACATGTCAAATGTCGAGAAAATAAACAAATGTTTTTACATTTTAAAAAACAAAACATTCCAAAACATTTTTAAATAATAACATTTCTACATTAACGATTTAAAGTAGTTTTGCAGTAATTAAGTAAATTGGTGCAGTTAGTGTCGATAAATATGAAAAGCAAATAAAAAGAATTTAATGACGTCAAAAATCACGTCGTGCTTATGCGTCGCGCAGTTTTTATTCATCAGAAGGCCTGAATGTATATTTACTATGCAAATATATATTTTTATATATATATATATATATATATATATATATATATATATATATATATATATATATATATAAAATATATATATATATATATATATATATATATATATATATATATATATATATATATATATATATATATATATATATATATATATATATATATATACATATATATTATTATTATTATATATATATATATATATACATATATATTAGGGTGATGCAAAAAACAACTTTTTTTTAAATAGTCTGCTGCTCTTAACTAAATGTATTTTTTATAATGCAAAAATATTAGATTTAAAATTTTTTTGAACAAAAAATATTTTTAGGGGTGCCTCATGACCCTTAAAAATTTGCATAGTAATAAAATCACCTTAAAAACAATAGTTTTTAGACAATTATATCTAAAAAAATTATTTTTATGTAAACTTATTATTATTTTTGAAGTTTTCATATAATTTTACTTCTTTTGAGTACCAGGTTGACATACTTTTGAAAAACTATTTTTTTTACATATTAGGGACCCGTCAAATTTTTAAGGGTCATGAGGCATCCCTTAAAATATTTTTTGTTCCAAAAAATTTTAAACCTAATATTTTTGCATTATAAAAAATACATTTAGTTGAGAGCAGCAGACTATTTTAAAAAAAGTTGTTTTTTGCATCACCCTAATATATATATATATATATATATATATATATATATATATATATATATATATATATATATATATATATATATATATATATATATATATATATATATATATATATATATATATATATATATATATATATATATATATATATATATATACATTTATATATATATATATATGGCATAAGCCACTTTATACAGCGTTTTTATGATACATGAATATTTAGTTGAGGGGTGAAAACAACAAAAAAAGTGGTTTTCTAATTCAATATATACAAGCAATTTAGGATTTAAATAACAAAAGCTCCAACAAACAAAAATTTTATATATACATGAAATTCTTTTAAATTAGGTTTTTAAATTGTGTGTAAAAATTCACATCAAAAATACGTCATTTTTTTTCAGTGGTTACATTAAAATTGTTTTTAATGCTTTCAAAAAAATGTATTAGTTATTTGATTTAACTTAAAATTAGTTATAAAAATGACAGAAGAAAAAGACATAAGAGAAAAAATTATGCACAAACATTTAGAAAATCCCAGTAGTAGCTACAATTCGATAGCAAAAGCATTACAAATACATCCATACAATGTTAGTTATTAATCCAACGTTTTTCTCAAACAAAATCAATCAAACATAAATCTGGTGGTGGAAGAAAGAAGGGTTTTAAAGATAAAAAACTAGTTAGAAAACTGGTTAACAGTTTTAAGACTATTATATTGCCAAATGTAGAGGAAAAGCAGATAAGAAATTTAAATACATAAAACATGACAAGTTTGCTAAAAAAGTCTTGATTTGGCAAGGTATTTGCAGTTGTGGCAAAAAATCAGAACCTGATATTTCTCAGTCCACACTTTTGGGTCAAATATATGTCAAAGAGTGTACAAAAACGTCATTTACCTCTCATTAGATCACACTATAAGAGACCTGTGTTCTGCCCAGATTTAGCTTCAATTCATTATTGTAAACTAGCTTAGGAATGGTATAAAAATAATGTGAAATTTGTGCCTAAAACAGAAAATCCTCTAAACTGCCCAGAATTAAGAGTTATTGAAAAGTACTGGGCCATTATTAAAAGAAAGATGAAAAAAACAAAAAAACTTTGCAGAAATATTTAAGATATTAAAATATCATTTAAAAAAGCATCAAATGGCTTTAATTCTTATTCTGTGCACAAGCTTATGGGTATCACCAAAGCAAAAGTTCAAAATTTTATTAGATTCCCACAGAGATAATTTGATTTTATATATATATATATATTTGATCTTCTTATATTATTGTATTAAAGTTATTACTTGGTTGGAAATAAAAATTGAAGAGTACTTTTTTTTAGTTGTTTTTCTACTTTCATATTTATTTCGTGTACACGCTTTAAAATCTTTTATATTGATTTTCTTTTTTTATGCAAACATATTGTCAATGTAAAACAGAAAAATATGTTTAATATATTCACAATAATTTAATATGTTCACAGCAAATAATTCACATTAATTTAAAATTTCCACAGCAAAAATAAAAGATATTTTAATACATTATAGATGTAACACTATAAAACAGATTATTTTCAACTTTTTTTATTCTAAATAGTCTCTTAAGCTGCTTACAATAAACATGTATGACATTAAACATCTTGTTTACTTTTATATTGATTATCTTTTTTTTTATGTAAATGTATTGTAAATGTAAAAAAGAAAAATATGATTGAATTATATTTTTTGCATTACATTTTTAAGACAACTTTTAAACGATTTCTATGTTCTTGTAGGTACTTTAACAGAAATTATTTAAGGTAAATAACAGAAACGATTCTTAAATGACAACCTTCTTGATACTTTATAACAAAATATTTTATATTTTATATAAAGTAATTTTTTATAATTACATTGATATTCATTTTTATCTAATTTTATAATATAATATATTAAATAATATAAAAATTATAATATAAAATGAATAATACATTTTAATATAAATTCATTAAGTTTTATTGTGTACATTTTAAATAAATTTATTGTTTTTTAAAATTGACTTTTGCTTACTACTGATATAGATGGTTGATCATAGGTTTGTACGTTTAATATTTTTTAGGTTTCTCTAACAACAAGACATTATATTTCTTTTTAAAATAATTAAATCCCATTGTTGGAAGGCATTTTTATTTTTGCTTTTATTTTATTGACTTGAATCTTAACTTTAAATGATTGTTAAACTCTCTCAATACCACAACAAACAGAACAAATAGAACATCAAGATTTGAACATTCAAGCAAAACTTTTTTTTAATTAAACAAAACTTTGTTGCAATAGAATGTTAGTTAAAAGAGTTTTTGTTTTACTGCATAAGAAAAGCGAATAGATTGTCAAGGTCTTTTAAGTAAAATTTTTTTTTTAATTACATAGAAATTTGGACAAATAAAATTTATAACTATTTTAAATAAGCAACAATAGCATTTAG